ATGGATTTCCCGTGGCAGGCGCAGTGCAAGAGACATGTTCATCAGAGCTGTTAGGAGGTCCGGGCGCTGATTTCCTGAGAGGGGTTGCATTTTGGAGCATCAGATCTTCAGGTTTGCTGAGATGATTTTGCATGACAGGTGCAGCACTTCGTATGACTTGGCATGATTTTTTCGTGGCAGGAGCAGTACTCTAGACAGGTGGAGTGGAAAAATCGCAAAACGCATTGGTACGAGGCCGTCAGCTCTGCACTCAACTTTCTATTTTTGAAGGCAGACAGACAGACAGGCAGGCAGGCAGGGAGGCAGGCAGGCAGGCAGGCAGACAGACAGACAAGGTAGATAGACAGACAACTACAACTACAACTACAATTACAACTACAACTACAACAACTACAACAACTACCACAACTACAACTGCAACTACAGCAACAACAACAACAACTACTACTACAACTACAACTACAATTACAACTACAACTACAACAACAGCAACAACAACAACTACTGCTACTACCAAATTTACAACTACAACTACACTACATTACACAGCACTACACTAATTACACTGCAGCACACTACAACTACAAATATACATGCAGCTACAACTACTACATTACAAGACACAACACTAAACAACACTACACTACACTAATTACATTACATTACATCTACAGCTGCACCTGCAACTACAATTACAACTGCCACTACATTGCACTACGCTACACTACACTAATTACAATACACTAAAACTACGTACAACTACGTACAACTACGTACAACTACACTACTTTACACTACACTACACTAGACTACACTACACTATACCACACTACAGTACACAACACTACAGTACAGACACTACAATACACTACAGTATACTACACTAATTACACCACACCACAGCTACAACTGCAACTTCAACTGCGACTACACTAGACTAAGCACATCACATTAGAACTACAACTTGCAACTACTACTCCACTACACTACACTTCAACTACAGCTACAACTGCGCGACACCACACTACATCCAACAGTTGTGGTGAGGTGACCGCTGCAACCATGGCAACCACTCCAAAAAACACAGCTCCAACCACCTCTTGGGCCATCAGTGGATTGGCTCTGCCACCCGTGATTCACAACAACCAACCTCTCCTATAGGTTTCCTATTTTTGAAACTTCCGCCACCGCCATGTGCCGTACTACTGGTATATACAATGTAGAACTGGTATATTCTTTATCTGAATTTAATTATATAAGCATATTAATGTTATTATATTCGATTTGTGGAAGAGATGTTGTCCTTTTGCGGCAAACCTGCCACAATTTTTGCTTCACTGTAGCCAGCGCACTGCCATGCTGTCGTGCCAAGAAGGTGGGTCTCAAAATTTGGACCCTCAAAGGGGTCCTTAAATGGGTCAGATTCCCATGGGGCTCCATGATTTCTCAATCTTTCAATGTCCTTCAAACAGGGGAATGGGGTAATCCCCAGTTTTTTCTAACACTCTGAGACATCCGTGGCAGGAGAAGGAGCGCCGTTTGTGCTTCTTGCAGTTTCTTTCTGGCCTACTGCAGCTGAACCCAGACCTTCGATGGACGCCGAAACAGGCACAGCTAAACTGCCAAATGCTGCAAGGATCTACCATGATGTCAACGTTTTGAAGGGTTGGGAATTGGGGGCAGGAGTGGCACACTCTCCAATGAACCAACGATCATACAATACGCTCTAATCATTGATAGTCATCTTGTACCATATGATATGTAGAACACACATTATTTTGACATGTTTTTGAAGATTTTCAAACTTGTACAAGTCATAACTCCAATCATCTCACATTTCTCATCGCACGTCTGTTGTGTACCACCAGCGTCCGGCACGAACCTGGGAGCCTGGGAGGCGTCGGCGCATCCCTTTATCATTGGGAAAGCCTTTGATCCCGACTTCTCCCCTCAAGCGGATCATCCCGTGACCAACTTTCGGAAGGCTCGTGATTTCACGGATGAAATCGGACGCGTTGAGAGATGTTGAGAGCCTCTTAAGGTAGGCGAAACAATGCAAACCATATTATTTGGATGAGAAGTCCTCCACTTTTGAGGTACTTTGTCCTCTGCTTGTTGTCGTTTTTTGAGCTTTGCTTCCTGTCGTTCTGTTGAATCAACTGAAGAGCTCCAGCTACACTCACGGATCACGGAGCTCAAAGCAGAGTTCATTGTGCACCTCCCAGCGTTATAGGCAGACTATCCTCCTTGTACGTCCTTTCCAAAAATGGCTTAAAATACCAAGCAAGGCCATTTTAAGAAAGCCTACTGGTCCAAACATCTGGAGAAAAATCTACCCTGCCGTTGCAACATGGCCTTGGTGTCCCGGCATTTTACGATAGAAAAACTCAGCTTCTCATCGGCAGGCGGTGCCCCCAAGTTGAACCCTCAGAAAATCGGCAGAAATGGGTGCCCCTGGTGCTTTTGATTTTGGGCCACTGAATTTTGGAGATCTTTGGAGAGACCTCAGCCAATCAGTTGGCATATTGGAGCTCCTGGTTTTCTGCTTTTGCTGACGTGGCTGACGTGGCCTCGGCTGAACTGAGGTTGTTGTCAGGGGCAGCCCGGAGCTTAGGTGTTTTAAGCCATGCTTTGGAAGTTGATCTGTGACATGGGTGGATCTGCAAAAACTGATGGCTGCGAGTGAAATCACATCACCTTGCTGGGTCTGGTGGCAAGTCGGGATGAGTTTCTGACCAACTCGTCAGGATCAACAGACTCTGCTTGATTTTTCATGTCAAAAGGGTATCAATGTATATAATGTATGAACGGAGTTGAAGTTTTTTTTGATCAACTCATACTTTATGCAATTAAGTGACAGCAGAGAACTGAATCAATTCAATGTCCTACAATTGGGTATAATACATGGTAAAACAAATACGGACCCACCAATTTAATTTATAATATATATATATAATTTCTCATAAATCACGCCTGAAACCTCTTAGATTTCTGAGATTTCCGAGGGGTGTGTACACCGTGGATGTCCGATCTCTCCCGCTACAGTCCCCGAGGTCCAGACCGGTGCCCATGTTGCCCAAAGCGAAGCTTGGGCCGCCGGAGGAGGTGTGAATTATAGGACTAACTCAGAGTCAGTCATCACACACACATAATCACAATGTGTATTCTATAATATTATATATATGATATATATTAATACTTATGACATATATAACATAAATAAATATATATATATATACGTATATATATATATATGTATGATTATATATAGGTACACAGGAAATTTGGTATTCCAAAATCGTTTGGAGATTCCCAGGTCTGAAGAGCGACTGGGATTCCTGGGGTGTCAACAAGAATGGGACCTGCTCACCTCTAGTCACACTGCACCAAAATTGCAAGTTTATGCCATTCGCATCTCGAGGTTCCGAAATTCACAAACTCCACGAGCCTCACAAAAAAACATGACATATATATATATATATGTATACATATGTGACATATACCAGTCTTCATGCTGGCTTAATCTAAACCCTCGATGTCCAATTGGTGCAGTTGGGGAGTCCCGGGGTCCCGCAGCCAGGGAGCATCCTCAGCTCGGAACTGGGAAGACAAGAATGCCTCAGGCATGGCGGCGTGGTTTTTTGCAGGGAAGTGGATCAACTGCCCAAAACTTCTGGTGATTGAGGGTTAAATGCAACACGCATCAAAGCGCTGTAATTGAATCAGGACTACTATTGACCATTGCCATAATCCAGCTTTGGAGATGCCAAGAGAATCATTTTTATACACTTTTGAAAAGCCAGAGCACCAGGCGTTTGACCCCACACTCAAGTCATCAAAACTGCAGGCGAGGATGACAGGTGAAAATCCTCAATACGTCACGGGACGCAGCTCCATAAAATAGGGGTTGTCCCACATGCGAAAAATCACCAAATCACCAACCATGATCAAAAATGGATCATCAATGATCATCATATATTCCCCTAAAAATGGTGGAAGGCCATGGAAGGCCATTCCCGTTCAATGGCCATTTTTCTTGGGTATGCCCATTTTCAGACACCCATTGGATGCATTCCATGGCCCCTGTCTACCTTGAGGTGGTCTTGAGGGTGAACAGATACGCAGTGCGCCGGCGACGACGCGTGAGGCTTCAGGCGGCCAGGGACCACTGGGATACCAATTGCCAAATTTGTGGGTCTCTGGGTCTCTAGGTGCCCCAGTTTACCCATGGCCATCTGAGATGGCATAACAGGCCATCAAAATGAGCAGAAACCCAGAAATGCGTTCGTACGAATTTCCACTCGGTGGCCCGGTGACGAGGGTGAGATGTTGAAATTTGATCCCAGGATGTTGGGTACCAGTCGCTCCCACGCTGAGCAAACATGATGTGATGTCAGGTGATGAGACAGGAGGTGCGCGTGTCCATTTCATTCCATTTCATCAAGAAAAAACCAGGGAGATATTCCTGATATTTCCTGATAGTCAGCTTTAGCGCCAGACTGATGGTAAACAAACTTGGCTGGCTGGTTGACCTGTTATGATGATCCCAACTGGCCGAACTCTTCCAGGGCTCAACCATGCATCAGGTGTCAGACATCAGGCTGACGTCGCTTGGCCGCAACGGCACATGATATGATATGTCGCTGATAACTTGATGCCATTAAACAGGGAATTTCGAGGAATTTTGTTGCTTAACATTTTTTCGACTATGATCATTGGCTATTGATGGCTATTGTACATATTATTCCCCCCCTGCCATTCTGAACTGTATTGCCAATTATTCCAGATTGTACTGTATATCAAGTTATACAGCAGATTACATCACTTGCACACAGACAAGCGCACGCACACATGCATCGTATGAATCATATACGATGAATGCATACACATCAAGCTTTGCATCAAGTTGTCCATTTAAATCATATTATCTCAACATATATCAACTTGTTCTAAGTGCATCCAAGTTCAAGGAATGTCCATGTAGATCCAGTTCCAAATGTTGGAACTGAGGCCAAGTTGCCAGAGTCCGCCCTTAGCGGCCTCTGGGGTCACCTTTGTATGGGCCGGGAAGCCATGGGGAGCCATGGGGAGCCTGAAGCTTTAGCACAGCTATGCGCAGCTCACCAATCATCCGGTGGTAACCTGCGCCTGAGGCATCCCCCTGCCAGATGACAACCCTGTGGGGACGCCCAAGCGAGTCTCTTCGCCATCTCAGCTCCCTTTTCTCCAAAAGTCAGCGAAAGACGTGGATCCACTCCATTCCACTCCTCTCTACGCTATTTAGATCTATTTAGATCTATTTAGTGCATCATCATCCGATTTTGCTTCTGATCTAACATCTGAGGTGCTCACGAGCTTACGTTTCATGTGTCACTGTGGGGTTCCCATGGCTTGAAACCGCCGCACGATCCACAGGCTGAAAGCTATCGACCTCCCATTGACAAAATGTCTGAACGCTTCTTCCGAAGCTTCATGGAGGCGGGATGAGGATGCACTGGCTGTTGGGGGCAGCCCCATTGAACAACCAGCAGGTACGTGAAGATAAATGGTAGTATAATCAACTTTAATCAACCAGCTCCGGGATGCCCCCATGGTGTGGCCAGTGTGGCCATGTTGCTACATCAAGCAGGACCCATGGTGGGAGGCATGAGCACTGTATTTTAATATATTTTAATGATTTTTAATGCATTTGAGCGAAAATTAGGGGATACCCAAATGGTCATTTTGTGGTGAGAACGCCCGAGTTGTGCTTGAACTCTCGGTTTTTTCAGCCAGGCCGATGTGCGCAAGAGGCACAGTGAAGCATCGACTGAGGCCTGGAATCAAAGCAACATATTCCCACAGATCCTTCGTCATCCTTCGTCCAAAGATGTTTCTTTGAGTCTCTTCCCGTTCCATATTGGTTTCGGATATCGGATAGCGCATGATAGCACAATAGCGCCATTTTTTGGATTTCCCAAAGCTCTAGTTTGGGTAGTTTTCAGAGGGCCTGCAATAGCAAGCACAGGATGTATGATACATTGACTATTCGCTGTATGATAGGATGCATCGTCACAAAACAAGCTCATGCAAAATCATCAGTCAAACATCATCTCCGACAAATTGAGATGTGCAATCTTGCCAACCCAATCATATTTTCCATCCCAGTTACCAACCATTTGGAGTCATAAGAATCACCAACAGGCCATGGATCCTGGTACTGCAAGCCCTCCAAAGGCGCTTTTGCCCAGTGGATGGTGCAGGATGTGCATGTTTTCTATTCAAGTGCTGGCAGCAGTCTGAGCCATAGAGCTCCAGATCCAAATTGCTATTACATCTGTTACATCTTAATGGTTTACTGTGTATATATAGATAATTATATATATATACACATGTACAAGACATATATATATATATATGCATAATATTTTTTTTCATACTCACACTCACGCATACTTTTGTATAAATCTATGTACGAGGCAACCATTGAACCTTTATGAGAAAAGTCGGACGGCCAGGCTGGAGCTGGCGCTTCGTTTTGCTCCTCCGCATCTTCCACAGGCCCCGCAGCAGGTCGATACCTACGATAAGAGGGGTAAGTTGAGATTCGAATGAAGGGATAATGGTCCCAAGTTAATTTCATGTGCAATACTGTTCAAGGAAGGCAAGATAACCACTAAGCAGCCTCCCAAAATGCCATGGATCGAAGAGATGTATACTCCAAACACAGTTGCTTGGTAGGTCGCCCCCAAAAATCATACACCCCAAGACCCCAGACTTGGTGCTCTACTTGGGAACCCAGTGAACCCTCCCATTTTTTTGATTCCCTGGTTTATTTTGGAAAAAACACATCAGTTCTTTTGGAACATGACGGCAGGCTCACCCACGGGGCGGCAAGCCCCGGGTCCCTCACCTTTGCTGAAAGCCATGCCAAGCGATTTGCGCTTGGTGGGCCTACGACCAGGCGCTTGGGGATGTTGGGATGTTGGGGGCGGAGCTTGGAAGAAATTGGAATGTCTCAGAAGATGTTAGAATCAACTATCAAAACGCTAAAATGATGTGGGATGTGGATGAGTCAGAGAAGTTTGAGTAAATTTGCAAGTTCTTTTAGGTTCCAGCAGCAATGGTGCCCTGCCTCAAGGTGCTCCAACACCGGGGGGTGCTGCAATGTCCAGTGCCCGTCCCGGCAGTGGCCCTTCACAGACTCCACATCGAGGCGGGCATATTTTTGAGATCCTGGGTGAACTTTAGTGCAATCATTTTAGAATATTTTAGGTGTACTTCGAAAATGTTTATTTTGATTCTCATATATATTTCTCATTTGATCTGATTTGTTCAGCTTGCAAACCCAACCAGTCCCGACTTCGGGCATTTTCGCGCTTTCACGGTGGAACGGTGGGTCCCAAAGACGCAACTTTTCCTCAGATGTCGACGTCAGGTGGAAGTGCTGGCTTTGGGCGTGCCTATTCCAGCCGTGGCGGATCCAGAGGTTCTTCGCATGGGGTCTCAGAAGCGGTGTCAGTGGCAGATCTCCAAGGATTGATGTTTGAATGATATCACCGACTCTAGTTACTATAGTGCCTTTTTTTTGGGTGTAAAAAACAAACAATAGGATTCAACACATCATCTGATCTAGCTGTTATGGTTTTTATTATGGTGTTAATATCTCAATCTGGTAACGTTCGGGTGAAGTGAATCCAAAATCGCCTGGGGATGGAGCTGTGTGATTCCTGGTGAGCTGCAGCAGGAATAGTGACTACCCAAACCACCAAAAAACCACCAAAAAACCACCCAAATGCAAGAAACAGACATGACTGGCTGGAAAGTCGCTGAAATCATAGATGCTTTACCTCTTAAACGGCCTGAAAAACCTTTTATATAACCATGGGGGGATTTCCCATCATTAAACACGGCTCCAACCCACTAGAATTGAATCATAGCCACAACGGGGGGAGGGAAATGGATCATTTTACTTCTGAAACTAGCCATTTACTGTAACCCGCCTTGTATCTGGGGTGTTGGGAGCCACCCGGTTAAACAATGTTAAACATCATTATGGTTCCATAGATCCAGATGTCCGAGATCAGATGTCCCCAGGCCCTGGCATTTGCCATCGCCAATGAGCGAGTTAAGTACGGCCTCGGAGCGTGTGAACAGCTGCTTGGTTTAAAACACATGGGTCGGCCTCGGGCGATGTTTGGGTGTTTGGGATTCTCACTTCCAACTGCCGGAAAATCCACCATTTACTTTGATGTTAGTTCCAGCGAACTAAACCTCCATTTTATAATATTTATAGTGAGGATTTCCCATTGCAATGTTTGATTACCGGAGGGTAAACAAATCCATCAATGACCAAATCAGAGCAACTACCGCATGGAGCAATATTCTGATTTCAGTTCGGAGGGTCAGTTTTGCATTTTATTGGCTACAAATGAACAGCAGATGACCGACCCTGCAATCATGACTTTGCAGACTGCTTGGCTTTCTGATATACCTAGTATGCAGATGCAGATGTTTGTTGTCAGAGAGTTTTCGGACCCACATGGCCCACGCACTGTTACGCACTGTTTATTTATGTTTAATTATTCTCTATGTCATAGAATGCCACAATAAGGTGATCCACTTATTATAATTCCAAGGGCAATTGTTGGGAGCATACTTGTAGCACCGTGGAAACAGAGCTGGCATATCTGGAACGGTATGAACTTGCAGTACTTTGCTACCCTACAGTGGTAGCCACAACAAAGCCAAAATTTGAACAACTCCACCGCATTACATCAGGGAAACTGAGGGTTGCTCCTTGGTTCGCAGAGTTGTCACCAGGTTCACAGCCTTCGGGAAGCGACTCTTGCGAAGAGCCTCGACATTTGGGGTCGCTTGGTAGAACCTGCCATAGGGTCGCACTGCAGGATGTTGTCACCCCACATCTATTGGAATGGTTCACTTTCACAAGATCTGAGGTTGCAAAAGCCTTCCCAAATCTGCCAATTTGTTCGTGACACTGCGCAAAAATGATCACCCACAATATGTATGAGCACAATGAAAGGTTTTTCAACCACATCCACCCAACAAAATCAGAAGATTTCTGCCGAAACATGCCAGTCTTCTGCTGTGATGTGTTGACCAGGTCCGAGATGGCCTTTGCCTTCGAAGATCCATCGCAGAGTGATACCCCTGTGGCGGGTGGCCCATCTGGTCCGTCTGACTGCGGCAGTCCATATCCCGAGGGCGGAAACTTTGGGGTTCCCCCCGGCGGGGGCACCAAAGATGTGCAGTCGGCCATGTGGGAAAGCATCAAGCAACTTGGATGCGTTGCTGAGGTGAAAGTAATGGGCTGACGTGTTGCTGAGGTGAATTGATATGAATTGATGAGTCGAACAATTTATGGCTGCATCCTGTTGTATCGGTTTCAATTTTTGGACGTGCCTGTGAAGTAAAATATCGTAAGCGGGTCATTGGATGCAGCTTGATCAGGCGCTTCCAGTGGCCGCAAGTCCGCAAGTGTGTATAAAGTTCACTTCAGCTAACTTGAAACCTTGAAACTTGAAGAGAAAACGTAGGCCCATACTGACATCAAACCCTTTGAGACAAGAGGACTCATTTCCTCTAGGGATGACACATCAGATGCTCCAACTGAGACACCCTATAAACATCTATAACCCCTCCCTTATGTATTGTTATGGGTCAAATTTATCAACCATATTATCAACCCTCGACCCCTTTTTTTTGGGTGCTTTCCGATCCCTAAAATGACGAGCTTACTGTGGGTCCATAAAGCCCCAGCGACTTAATCCATCAACTGCCAAGGTACGAGATGTCACGGGTGGAACTGGGACGGGATCGTCTTCCGCGGCGGATGGATATACAGAGCCCTGGAAGTACAGGCGGATGCGAACGGGGATCCGTAAACGGGTCCCTGCTACGGTATTGTAGCTGTGTACCGTAGCGATGTGTGATGCCACCGAATGTGATAGTGCAATCAGCAATAATACAAATTTTCTTTGTCTATTATTTCCTATCTGTTTGCCTAGGTACTGAACTAGTTAACTTAATTAAGTATTTGTCCATCTGCTGGTCTATTTGTTTGTCTAGCTTGTTTGCACTCTATTATATATATACTTCATCTATCGATCGATCCAGCGATCCATGCATCCATTCACATGACTTAATTGTATGTATACTAGCGAATGTGGTTGGTTTCGGAATTGCTGCTAGCATGAACTCCAACCCATCTCCAACCCTACTTTTTTTCCTCCTACCAGCAGTTTTGCAAGACTTGCGACGAGTACTAGTTGGAGAAGAGAGTTTCTTCATGTCTCTTCAGAATATTCCGAATGACCCATCTTCACCTGGCAGGTGCTTTGGGGACCTTTCGGGAGGCCATTGGCATGAATGACAACGGCCCAGTGATCCCGCAACTTGGTGATGGATTGGATCGGAATGGGTTGAAGTAGATTAGAGTAGATTAGATTAGATGGATAGGTAGGCAGAGAGGCAGACAGTTAGATATACTTATATCTATATATATATATAACACACACATATATATATAATATTATATATACCAGGAGCTTCAAAGACCCCAAAAAATGTAGGTCCAGTGAAAAAAAACTCATTTTTTCCGAGAAAACTTGGTTTTTGGTAAAGAACCCATATTTTGGCAAATCGGGTGGACCTGTATCAAATTTCTCCTCATTACATGTAGCAATTTCATATTGACAACTTGTGAAATCTGCCAGACAGAACGCGTGATCGAAACCGAAGCAAGCGTTATCAGACACGATGCGCGCTTTCTCCGCCGGCTGCAGTTACCTCCTATGCTGCGAACTTTCCCTTCAGCGGGACTGGAGGTAGTCAAAAAGTCACAATGGATATGCATGGCATTTCAAAAGTCAGCTTTTCAGATATGAACCCAGTAAATTGACAATAGCTCCGGTAATCTGCGTTGCTTTCTTTTTGTCTGGATCGGGCAATTACGGTTCGATCTCGCAAACCAGAAGCGGAGCCTTAAAATTCGACGTCGCGCCGTCAAGTCGCAGAGGCAAAAAACCCATATTTTGAGTATACTGGTTAGTATGGGTTAAATATGGGTTAAATATGGTTTAAATATGAGTTCCAAAACACCATTGTACGGGTTAAATCGGTAAAATATGGGTTAAGTACGGCTTAGTACTGCTTAAATATGTTTTTTTGTTTTTTTTGGGTACAGACTCTAAAATTGTCATCCGAAATGATTAAAAAACTGAAACTTTCGATTGATTTTTCATGATTTTGTTAATTTGTTCGATACTTTTGTTCGACTGTTTGCTGGACTTTGGCAATCCAGAATCATTTTTTCCCCAATGAAAAAATACAGCCATGTTTCAATTTATGCTTCTAGGGGTGGTTCTTGGGAAAAATCATCCAATGACGCCAGATTGACTGTGATCACACAGAATGTTGTCCGACATGTTCCAAGAGCATCGGGCCTTTTCTTGTGAGAACTGCCAGCCAAAGCCAGCGGGGTGGAAGTATAATCAACATGAAGGGTACTGGGAGGGATAGATCCAAGGCTGGTACCAATAAAGGGGTTTGAATCGTCTAAGGGAACGAATCATGAGAAGTCATGACACCAAGTGTGAGAAAAAGTCGGTTTTGTCCCTAGTAAAGAAAGCCCATATTTTCTGAGAAAACCCGTTTTTTTTTTAAATAACTGAAGAAAAAATGGGTTTTTGGAAAAAGACCTACAAATTTGTGGGTTCTTGATGCGCTAGGTATTTATATGATATATGACGATATATCGTGGTCCCGAAATGACTGCAAATGGAAAGGGACCTGGCTCTATCCAGCTCAGCGTCAGCCCTTCGAAAAAAAAGGGAAACTTGTGATCCAGCCGGGCTGATGGCCAAACCAACGTTATTTTCTTGGGGTATAAATTTGATAAATCCAAATGCTTGCTGGTGAAATCCTAGGTCCTAGACAATCTATTTGTTCACCCACCATAGTCTACAGTCACGTAACACACTTATTATTTCTTGTCACATCATCACATGTCACATGTGTTAAAAGGCTTTCACCAGTTTGTTTGATCCCACTTTTTTCTTGACTTGGGCGATCAAACCTATGAAATGTATTTGAGTATGGAAATGGTGATTGTCAATCTAAATGGATCAAAACTTATGAAATCATATGATTTTTCATATGATTTTTCATTTGACATTTTTTTTTTGCCGGGATGAAGATCCAGCCTCGAACTTTCTAGGTTCAGCGCTGCGGGTCGCCACCCGCAGTCCATGCGCACGCCGCCCGGAGCCGCCCCTGGAGCCTCAACGCCCAACGAGGAGACGCAGTCCGGACGCTTTTTGGGGCTCTAGGGTGGGCTGAAATCATGGATGTCCAAGTCACCCATGGGACTAAAATGGTCATCCATGACTTGGATGATTTGGGGTAGCCCTATTTTAGTAGGAAAACTCGATATATCATACGTAATATAACCAATAACATTTACAAAAATTGAGATAAAGGCAAACGGAAACGGAATTTAAGGAACAAGATCTGGGGGTATATGGGAGTATAATACCAACCATTTTTATGAGGGATATGGTTTTTGAATTAGGATATAACGATGTTGAACCACCACCATTTTGCAAGACCGCTGATCGGTTCAAAATGGATGAAATATATTGAACAAAACATTGAGGTATAAAGTCAACAAACACTATGCTCTGGGTTTGTGCAGAAATGGGGTCCCAAACATGGCGATTGTGTTAGGGACAGTGAGAATCCATTGGAATTGGGGGCACAGCATTTTTGGACAACACCCTTGTAGAGTTTTTGCTGATGCTCCGGTTGAAACTTGAGATTTCCATGATTTGCGAGTGGCAAGGTAGATTGCCAGAGGACAGTATCAATGTTCAATCAGCATGCACATACATATGATAGTAGACAAGTTCAATTGGATGTGATGATCAAGAAATGTCGATATCAAGCAATGAGGAATAGGCGAAGCAACATGGGTATGTAAGATAATATCAAATACGTGCACAAAACATGGACAGGTTGTGATATTTAGAAACAAAAAGGCTAACAAAGATATCCACTAAAAGTAAGAATCCGAGTTGGCAGCCTGTTCATCAGCATGTCTTCTAAGAATCGTAAATCTTGAGCCATGGATGCCATGGGTTACAGCCATGGTTACAGCCATGTTTACAGCCGTGGTTACTTCCATGGTTGGGATTCAATGGTGATTCAATGGATGACGGGGTCCTCGCTGTCAAGGTCATCGACCCAGTCCACCGGCCTGGGCGTTTTTTCCATGTCACGATCAGTGCCTTGGATCGCTTTTTGCGCGAAAGTCCCAGATCTTTCAATGCTAAGTCATGGTCATCCATGACTTGGATGCGTTCGGGGTACCTTTATTTCATTGCCGTTGGCAAGCCCACCGGCCATAGGGAGTTTGATGTGCACTCTAGGTGGAAGCCCACGAGAGAAGCAGAAGAGAAAAGAAGGAGAAGAAGAAGAAGGAACGAAGACGAAGACAAAGGGATGCATGTTTTTTGGACCTGGGCACCCTTTTTTTGGACCTGTACATGTTTTTTGGACCTGGCCGGATTTTTTTTGGACCTGGGGGCACAAAAAATGTGGGGGATGCGCCTGTGTGTTTTCTGGACCCTGCGGGGATATTTTTTTTTGACCTGCATGCATTTGTGCGGGACCCAGGGACATTTTTTTAGACAGCCAAACTAATTGTTTCTGGGCTCTGCTTCTGTTTTTTGTACCCCTGCATTCATAGGGTGGGGGGGAAACTCCGTTGTTATAGGTGCTCACATTGGGCTGGATGTTTTTGGACCTTGGCGCCTTCTTTTTGGAACCCGTTGGAGTTGCGCTTGGCGCCGGAGACAAATCCTACGCAGATTTGCCAATATAAAGGGAATTGCAGGTTACGCCTACATCTGTCGATGCATCACCTGAACCCATTCTACCTTGCTTATATGCACAAGAAGTCGTGCCGCAAAATTGACGCCAAGCGTCAATGGCACGGGGGGTGGACTTGATTCAGACGAAGCAAAAACGCGCAGCAAGAGAACAAAGGAACAAGTACAAGCCAAGAACAGAAACAAGAAGAACACCTTCCAATCAGACACGCCGGCAGGCCGGCGGTTTACCTTTATGACTTCGGAACCTTCTCATGGACCAAGGTGGATGGCCACCTGGGCCTTGGGTTTGGAGGCGTGACATGTGTCCAAACAAAAAATATGTTGTATGTATAATATGTAGCTGTATGTATGTACAGAATCTATGTTGCATATGTACATATTGATAGGACTTTTTGAACACGCTACATATCCAGAAAACACTTGTGGAATGTGAGTAGCTCACGTCTGCAGTTGGTCCACTCTATCATAGCCTGAATGCTCCTCTCGTCTCATTGTGCCCTAATTCGAATTGTGCTGCCATTGGATTTTGTGGCAGGACCACGTTCCAAAGGACAAGTCGAATCAAGAAAACACGAGAGGTACAGTAGCACACCAGAAAGACCTTGTGGCACATCAGTTCAATTCATCAACCCTAAACAATCCTAACCAACCCAAACAGCCTAAACAGCCTAAACAGCAACGTGAGGGCTGAGGGCACCATAGGGCACCATAAGGAACCCACGCCCCGCCATGGCCCATCTTGGCAATCAGCCGAGCCTGACGGCGTTCCCAGATCCAGGCAGACGCGGCAAGCGCAAGCCTTGAGGCTTTGCACTGCGCGGCCGGAGGCTGGAGTTGCAGGATTCTGGAGAATATCCAATTAGCAGTAATAAACATCCAGAAATGTTCAAAAAAACATATTAAAATGTTCCACACATCATATTAATAAACTCTTAAAAAATGATGAATAATCTATCTGTTCAATTTCAGTTCTAAACATGATATTAACACTTGTCCTTAACAGTTATATACAGTAAGATGATGTCAGAGGGCAGTTCAGGATAGTTCCGGTACAGCAAATGACTATGCTATAGCCTGTTTTTGCCGAGTGCATGGGATCGAAGTGATGTAACGGTGCAGCCGATCTCGTGGCAGGCGTTGCGGAGATCGAGGATGAGCAAAAAGACAGAGGAACACCCAGCCAATATGATCATATTATGAAGAATACTACCATTGAGTATTCAAGACTCAGATCCAATAAGACGAGACTTGCTCTCCCAACATTTTCTGACTGGCGGCGAAGAACAGCACATTCCGAGTGGAATGGACACTGTCAGTGGAACTTGATGAACTCAATGCAGTTACTGTAAATGATCATTCGGATGTGGTTCCATTGACCCTTTGATGTCCATGATGTCCATTGTCACGGATCCGTTGCTTCCTGTTTGGCATCGAGAGACATGTTTCCAGCATTTGAAGGCATTGACAGGCTGAAAATTTCCGATTCGACTCCATGGAGACGAAATTCGTGAACACAGTTCAGCTATGTTCAGCTGTGTTTATGGTTGCAATGCAACTAGCGAAAAACTTAGAGACTTAGAGCAGGAAGCTGGAGTGAAAATGAGGCTCGAAAAGCATCCACGGCCAATCAGAAAAGGGGCTGTCTCGACCCCCAGCGTGGTTTTTCTCTTGGCTCGACACTTCACTCCACAGTGCCTGATCTTCTGTAAACCTATGCATGCAACCGCTTTCAGGAAGTGGGCACCTTCTGTCAGCTTATGGTTGTAGGCGCTGTTTCTACTGTCACATGATCAGCAAGGAAGGAAAACAAGACTAATGGAGACTGGTCTATCGCTGGACATTCAAACTTTGCAGGTTCAGTGGTTTTCAACACATTTTTCTTTGATTTTCTTTGTGGTTCTGATACACGTTTGATATGATTTGATGACCTGGTTTCAATATGATCAAGTCTCGGGTATGGTGTTCAACATCGTGTTCAACACCACAACAACACCCTGTCAGAACCATTCCCATAGACAAGTAAACCTGCTTTCAAGTACCCACACAATGCTTGGACAGTCATCCAGTATCCCTTTAGAACTTTAGTCAACAGTGTGAAAACAAAGGTGCAGCTTGAAGATGCAGATCTGATGAAGCTCCCATATACAAATTGTCCATTTCCTCATGTTGGGGGCTTGCCTTTAAAGGAGGCAGGCATGCAATGCCAATGGACAGCTCAATTTTTGCGCCGCCAACAGGGTGCGAAAATGACGAAAGGGCCCCAGGGCCTCTGGGGCCTCCGGGGCCTCCGGGACGAGGTTGGACTATCCTCCCATTTTCTTAACATGAGCAGTTCCCAACTGCTGGAAAAATATGAAAAACATTTTGACTATATATGATTATTATATTATGAAATGGATGAAATGGGGTTCTACCACCACGTTTCACTGGGAGCCTTGATCGCTCACTTTGGGAATCCAAGCCGAACCAATCCGGAGGTGAAGGGGGTGAAGGACTGGGTGTCAAGCATTATCATGGCTTCAACCAGTAAATCCTGTTCCCCTGTTCATATTAAACACCCCCATTGTGTGGTCCGATGTGGTTTGAAATATGTGTAAATCCCCTACATCCACCATGGTTTCTTGGGGGTGTTTCATATTTAAGAGATTATTTAAGGCAGGGGATGGGAGTAGCAAGCAATGATTTCATGTGATGTCGCCAGCTGTTGCAACTGCGACCGGGCCTCAAGTGGCTCCAGTGATCAAGCAGATTGCACATAGAATGCGTACTATGCGTACAGTTAGATGATAAATTGTAGTCTCATTGCTGTACACTGTATATGTTTATAAGACAATACTTGACATTGACTTTTCAGTTAACACTGAACACATTAATCACAAGCACTATGTATACAGTATACATATGTAATCACTATGTTTGCAGTATATTTGCATATTAGTTTATATATGTTCACTATAATTCATGCATGGCCCTAGAAAGAGTCCCCGTGCGCCATGGCCATGGCGGCCATGGCGGCCATGGATGTCATAGGTCTCATCTTTTGGCGGTGGGCTGAGCAAAGTGGAGCAATGACCAATGACGGAGGCGGGGTCAAAATACCAATCAGATACATTTTGACACATACATACATGTTTGTTTTGTATTGTTTTGTCCTTTTTTTCCACTCTCTCTCTCTACATGTATGTATGTTTCGAATGTATGTGTCGAATCATGTATATATATATGTATATCAGGTATGATGTGTATATAGATGAGATGTCTATGTGCGACTCGTTTCCCAAGATTGATTGAAGGTTGTGATTAGAGACCTTCATTGACCTTTATTCCTAATCACTTTTAATTTCCCCAATTTGTCTGAACATTATGGCTTAGAAATTCATTCTCCAGCATTTTTTTGGATGAAAGTCTGCCACGGCCAGGCGTGGTCCCAGCGACAGTTGGCATTTGAGAACTTGAGGCGACAGAATGGGGGTATCTGATATCTGGGTGTCTAAACATGGAGTATGTCCACAAAAAGCTATTTTAATTCGAAAATTATGAAGACCCATTGGATTTTGGGGTAGCCTATTTTCAGACCAAGCTTTTACTGAATCTGACCATATCACAGCTTGGGATTTGCGGTGATTTCTGCGGACTCAAGCAACAGATTTCTGTGTCAAGATTTCTGCAGAACCATTCTTCTTGATGACAGACTCTCGCGGCTCCTTTCTTGGGGATCCTTCTAGCTGATGAATGTGTTATGCTTCTTGCATTGGACTTTGTTGGGTGAAATCTGCCATATGGTTAAGAGTTGTGAGCACGATAGGAGCAAGAGTGCTACTTGCACCCCAAAGAATTTTCATCCCTTTCACTTGTTGCTTAGATGCCAAGAATCAAATATCACTGAACTCTGCAACTGCCTTGAAAGACACCAGTTTCACAAAAGTGAGGTGCAAAGATGCAGGAACAGAGTGAACATGAACGAACTCTATCAGATTCACCATCGGTTGGGACCCACATCAAGGCGCCATGGAATAATCCGTTACAGTATATCATTCTATATCCCCATTTATATCCCCACATTACATGGTAATATGAATAATGTGGTTAAAGCAATCATAATCCATCCCCAAAATCACCATTTTCATGGGTGGTATAAACCATCAAAAATGGGGTGGTTTATGATTGTTTTAACCACATCATCCCCATTATATCCCACATATCACCAGTACAGATCGGCATGTTGCGACGGCCAGGATTTTCGCCTACGATCTTCCCGCCTGTGCTCGACCTGCGCTGGATGTGCTGCAGCAAATGGACGACGACCATGTGCAGAGCTTGGGGGTGATACTGGTATGCTTGATCAGTTGGGGTATTTGTCAATATTATATATATATATATATGTGTGTAATAGTATATAATGTGTGTGTATATGTATTTAAGAGTTGCTGCTGAGCCAGGGACTCTGGCGACTGAATTGAAATTAAGTAGTGGTTTTTTCGCATTTAAAGAATGATTTCAAATAGTGTTTTTCATTTTTTTTCGTTAAAACATGCCGAGCAAATAGCGAAAAAAAGTGCAAACATAGTGAAATTACTTTCTTCGAGTCATCCTTACCCTTACACACTACATAATCTTACATAGTTTCTGACATACCATCTGGATGTATTTATGGCATATTTATTCTGACATTCTATCTGACATTCTTTCAGGCATATACTCTGACATTCTACCTGACATTCTTTCTGGCACATACTTTGACATTCTATCTGACACTCTTTCTGGCATTATCTGGCATTGTATCCGGCATCTATTCTGACATTCTTTCTGGCATCTACTCTGGCATTCTATCTGGCATCTATTCTGACATTCTATCTGGCATTTTGTCTGCTGAGGTCTGGCGCTCGCGGTTGAGGTCCCGCAGTGCCCACTCAGATCTGGAGCTCGCGGTTGAGGTCCGGCAGTGCTCACTGATATCTGGAGTTCGCTGTTGGGAGGAGGAGGAAGGAGGAAGGAGGAGGAAGGAGGAGGAAGGAGGAAGGAGGAAGGAGGAAGGAGGAAGGAGGAGGAAGCAAATCTGATAAAATCTAGAATCTAGAGACCCTCACCTGGCAGGTTTGGAAAATGGTGGACAAGTAGTGTTTTTGCAGCTATTTTCCTTCATTTCCTTCATGTTCCTTTGATTTTCCTTCAATTTCCTTTCGATTTCCGTTCTTTGCTTTTAAAAAGCGACAAACCAAGGGGAAATGAAATGAACCAGCCCAAAACACAACAAATATTTTTAAACTTTTTCCGCTATTTTTCATTTTTTTTGGTGATGAAGAAAGAGAAACATAGTGAACACTTAGTGCTTTAGCAGCTGTTTTCCTTCATTTCTTTCATGTTCCTTTGATTTTCCTTCAGTTTCCTTTCAGTTTCTTTTCTTTGCCTTTCAAAACTCATAAAAAACCAAGGGAAATTAAAAAAAACCAACCCAAAACACTCTCAAAACATTATTTTTTCATTTTTTTTGACTTTTTGACTATTTTTCTGTGATGAAAACAAAGGGACCAATGGAGTTTTGAACGCACGCTTTCTGTGAAACACAATGTCAAAACATTTTGTCACTTTAAAACCATATTACTTTGTTTTAAAACTGTTCGCCCCAACCCGGATGTTGCTCCACACTTATAATCGTCATGGTCATGGTCATGGTCATGGCCATCATCATCGTCGTCATCATCGTCATCATCGTCGTCATCGTCATCGTCATCGTCATCGTCATCGTCATCGTCATCGTCATCGTCATCGTCATCCTCCTCCTCATCATCATCATCATCGTCGTCATCATCGTCGTCATCGTCATCGTCATCGTCATCATCATCGTCATCGTCATCGTCATCGTCATCGTCATCGTCATCCTCCTCCTCCTCCTCATCATCATCATCATCATCATCATCATCATCATCATCATCATCACCGTCGTCATCATCATCACATGATGATCATCATCGCATTGAAATTCGCCACCCCTCTGAGCAATATGTTGACTGGGGTAAAAACATCAACTTTATCTTCATGAGGGGTCAAAATTCGGCACCCCCTCTGAACAATATGTTGATTGGGGTAATAACATCAACTAAGTGTCCATGAGGGATCAACATTCGCCACACCCTATCTTCATGAGGGATCAAACTTTGCCACCCCTATGTTGATTGGGGTAATAACTAATAACATCAACTTTATCTTCATAAGGGATCAAAATTCGCCACCCCCTATGATCAATATGTTGATTGGGGTAATAACATCAACTTTATCTTCATATCCACCTGAAGCCAGATGCGGCGCAACGTCAGGGTTGCAGCCAAACTGTTTCCAGAGAGTGGCTGCCCTAACAACTTAATTATATATATATATGATGGTAATTAAGTTATATATATATATATATGTATGCACATGTCACAAAGCAAAGTGAGATTTTGTTTCTTGCCAACGAAGTTGGAACAAAGACAGGGCATTTCACAATCAAACATGGGCATGGAAACAACAATACTGAACGATGTGGACGAGAATTTCTCAAAAGTTTTCAGCTGGTTCGAGTATGTTGAAGTTTCTATTTGCAAACAATTTTTATGTACACCTGAGTGAACAATTTGGTAGACTCTGAGGATCGACTTCACCTTCAGGGAATGATGCAGCAGATCTTGGCAGTTGAGGCCAGCACCGCATGGTTTCACTGCTTGAATAGAGGGCCTAATTTCAAAGGCACGTAAAGATTGACACCAGTTCCGTCTGATTTCTGAATTCTTTGGTTTCCACGTTTTGAATTCACGTTTGATCTTTGTCCATTGCTAGCACCCTTGTAGCAGGCTTTCGTGCATTCCTGTCCACCCGACGGGCGGGAATTGTTTTAATTTAAGGTTCCCCTGATCCTTTGGTCCCGTGGTCCTCTGGTCCCCTGGTCCTCTGGTCCCCTGGTCCTTTGGTCCCCTGGTCCTCTGGTCCCTTGATCCCCTGGTCCCTTGGTTCACTGGTCCCTTGGTCCGCTGGTCCCTTGGTCCTCTGGTCCCTGGGTCCTCTTGATCCCCTGGTCCCTTACCCTCCTCATCCTGGTCCTTTACCCTTCTCAACTGACCCTATATAAGCCCGAAAGCAACCTTGAATAGGCCAGAAACCAACCCTCAATAAAAACTAAACCAAGCGTCCTACATAAACATCCCTAAAACGGACTGAAAGAAACACCAAAAAAACATCCGAACAGCCCAAATAAGCCAAAAATCACACTTAAAAACCTGAACCAAACTAAATAAACCTTAAAACACAATCAAACAGACACCAAACCAACCATAATTCGGCACTACATAAACAGGAAAAAAACACCAAAACAACCAAATAAACCCAAATCATATAAATTGTGAATAATGCAATCGTTACTGTAAGCCCTAAACCAGCACTAAACAAACCCATGGACTACATAATAACAAAAACCGAAATAGGCTTTAAAACTACCCCCAAACAAAGTCTAAACCAACATTCAAATAGATCCTAAAACAACCCGAAAGAAACACCAAACCAGCACTAAATTCACACTACAACAACTTTAAATCGACACCAAACACACACCAAGCCAACCCCAAATCAACACTATAGCACAAGCCGAAGTAAACCCTAAAGGAAACCTAGAGCAACCAAATCTAAACCGTAAAACAATTAAAAAAACACACGCCCGCCCAAACTAACCGTACAGAAAACCTAACATCAACCAGAAATAATCCCCAAATGCACGCTAACCTACCTGAAATAGATTCTAAAACTAACTCTAGACAATATGTTGCAAACAACACGAAATGATGCAGATAATCCCCTGCGTAGTACAGATGCTGGCTCCAAGATGCTGCGAGCACGGTGCAAACAAGGGATGCAAGGCCAAAACGCCCTAAATACCATGCAAATTGCATAATTAAGTTCCAGAACCCTGCAAATATTGTATGTGCAAATAAGAGATTTCAGCTGCACAAAAAATTTAATTATTCAATGCCAAAACGCTTTAAATATCACGCAATTGCATGTTTAAGTGCCCAAACCCTGCACATATTGTACAAATAAGAGATTTCATCTGCAAAAGGGTTCAGAGTACAGATTCCTAAGTTTTTGTTCCAGTGTCTCAAGTTTTTTTCCAGTGTGGAGAGTAGGGGTGAACCTTATTTTTTTTTCCACTAGTCAAAAGTTTTTTTTCTCCAGTGTCTACCCCTGGTGAACCCTCAAACAGATTTCCAGTTTCAGGATCATTTGAAGAAGCATTTGGTATCTACACCGGAGGAGCGCCGATGACACGATGACCGGGTGCCGCCGGGTGCGGGCGAGTTTTGCATCGGATGCGATCGGCGTTTTTTTTTGAGAAACGTTGATGGTTTTCTGTGCAAAGGACAGACATGTTGCTGTGGCCTTGACGGTCATAGGGTTATTGCCTCAGCAGCTGCTACAACTGCTAGAACTGGGCCTGCAACTTGGCCCCGAGTTTGCCAGGAGGCAGACCTTTTCTGGGCCAAGGGCTTAGACCAGTGGATCTATGCAGCAGTTGATATGGCGCATGGAAGGGATTGTCGATTTCGAACATCGGCTTAAACTTAATCTTCTTCGCTTCAGCTTCATACGTCATTGATGCTGTACTATCTGTACTGTGGGTTGAGCTGGGATGGAGGATGTGGTTCACTTGAACTTGCACAAGCGCTTGATGCTTTTTGACATTCTGAAGACCCCGTTCTTACAACCAAAGTGTTGCAAATACCATGCGAGTGTCTTCAAGGGGCCTTTCAATCTTGCCACCTTTTCAAGGGCGCCGAACCAACTGCCTACCTTGTTCCTCAATTCTAAGCTGTTATACTAATTAATCGTAATTATTATATATTTATCATTTTTTCTTGCCTCCGAACTACACTTGTATAGCTTATTTGCAGTATGACCAACACTGCCCGAGATACTGATCCAGTAAAAGATGCTCAGAAAACACAACCAGCAGCTGGACCCTGCCAGATCCATTTTTGGAGGTTGGAAGACAACTTTCCTCTAAAAACGAATGATCCTCGTCGAACATCTTGGTCCCCACCAGGAAAACCCCGATCGTTGCCGCTCTCAGGTTCCCGCCTATTTTCCCCTGCTCTTTTGGTTGGAGCAGAATCAGTTGGATGCCACGGAGGCTTGGGATAGAGCTGTCCCTAAGTAAAGGTGGTTTGAGGAAACCATGGATGACCAAGAACAGTTTTTGGTCTTTACTTTTGGTGCCGTATTTTCATCCGAAAGCAGACACATGAATGCAAGTAACTCTGCTGTATTTGCATACATATCATGATGCACTGTGGAATTCAACCGTGGATTTACAACTCAAAGCGTTCTTGTTTCTGCTTGCTAGGGCAATTACGCGTGCTGGATTCATTTCAAATGTTCAGGTTTGTCTTGCGTGGTGGAAAGTGCATGGTTTTACCATGTTGAATAATCGCTCTTCAAAGGGTTTCGTCAAATTTCGTCCTAGATTCGTGTACTGCAGACCATGCACACCCCTGAAATCAGGCCCAAGGCTTCCAATTCTGCAGTTTCCATCTGCCAAAGTAGTTGATCTCCGATTTCCATTATTTTTCGCTACGTTTCTGGCAAATCTTTTGGGGATTTCCCCACCTTCACTCATATTTTGTTTGGGGTTTCCAGGTGTTGGCACCTTTGCTGCTCGGTCTCCAGTAAATCAACTTAGATTATCATAGATTAAACTTGATCAACAGAGATAAAACAGCAGACCTGTGGATCATTTTACTTCATGCTCCTTGCAAAACCACGGGTTTATGGGTCAAAACCATGGATTTATGTGTCAAAACTATGGTAAAAACCTATGGATTTCATGGGTTAAAACCACATGGTTCGGCGATTTTTGAACCGTGGAACAGCTGCAGGCCTGGCACCTCTTCTGCGTTCAGAAGACAGTGAATGTCATCGAGGAGTCCCCGTATCCCTGGCGCAATCCTGGCGCAGTGGGGCAGTGGGATGGGCCAAGTTACGGCCGTTGATGACCGTGGGATCTTGTTTTTATTGGAATCGATGCATTTTGGAATCTTGATGCAATTTTGGACTCTTAAATAAATTTTTGGATTTTCGGTGATTTTGGGGGTTTTCCTCCATGATTTTCAGAGACACCCACTGTAAGAATGATATATTGACATATCCTCCTTGAAAGCGTAGAGTCGCAAATCCAGCTGGAGACTGGAGAGATCCGGAGAGACATTTGGGCACCTTTTGTTCCTTAACACTGAGAATACAAGGCGAGTTGGGTCCCTTGTATTTTTTTTCAACATTGCCAGGTATATCTTCCGGAATGCTGGATATGATCATCTTTTGATCTATGGCTACGAATATCCACACTGGAAGAGGTTGAGGCATCCCTGGGCGCAGATGGTGACAGGACTGGAACTGGAAGATGATAAACCCAACAGACATCCCAATGGTTTGTATAAACAACTGCACGAAGGTAAAAGCTGTTGGGTTTGGATGGGTTTGGCACATTGACAGGGATTTCCAGATGAAAACAAGGTTCTGCAAGAATGGAAGACACAGTCAAGCCTGCAGCAGTTCCAGGCAAAAAAAACAAGATCCACCCACGAACCCGGGTGCAGGCACGTAGAACACTTTTGTGAAGTAAGTTGATTAAACAGTCTACATTTTTCCCCTGTTACCGTACCAGTGCACTGTGGACTGTGGAATGCGGAAGAGGGTGGAGTGCAAAGTGTGGAGTGTGAAGTGTAAAGTGTAGAGTGTGGAGTGTAAAGTGTGGAGTGTAAAGTGTGGAGTGTAAAGTGTAAAGTTTGGAGTGTAAAGTGTAAAGTGTGGAGTGTAGAGTAGAGTGTAAAGTGTAGAGTGTAAAGTGTAGAGTGTGGAGTGTAAAGTGTGGAGTATGGAGTGTAAAGTGTGGAGTGAGGAATGTAAAGTGTAAAGTGTGGAGTGCAGAGTGTAGAGTGTGAAGTGTAGAGTGTAAAGTGTAGAGTGTAAAGTGTAGAGTGTAAAGTGTAGAGTGTAAAGTGTAGAGTGTAGAGTGCGGAGTGTAAAGTGTAAAGTGTAGAGTGTAGAGTGTGGAGTGTAAAGTGTTGAGTGTGGAGTGTAAAGTGTAGAGTGTGGAGTGTGGAGTGTGAACTGTGGAGTGTGGAGTGTAGAGTGTGGAGTGTGGAGAGTAAAGTGTAGAGTGTGAAAGTGTGGAGTGCGGAGCGTAAAGTGTAAAGTGTGGAGTGTGGAGTGTAAAGTGTAGAGTGTAAAGTATAGAATGTGGAGTGTAAAGTGTGGAGTATGGAGTGTACAGTGTGGAGTGAGGAGTGTAAAGTGTAAAGTGTAAAGTGTGGAGTGTAAAGTGTGGAGTGTGGAGTGTACAGTGTAGAGCGTAGAGTGTGAAATGTGGAGTGTGGAGTGAAAAGTGTTGAGTGTGGAGTGTAAAGTGTAGAGTGTGGAGTGTGGAGTGTAGAGTGTAGTGTGAAGTGTGGAGTGTGTGAGTGGAGTGTGGAGTGTGTAGAGTGTAGTGTGGGTGAGTGTGTGTGGAGTGTAAAGTGTAGAGTGTGGAGTGTGGAGTGTGAAGTGTGGTGTGTAGAGTGTGTAGAGTGTGAAGTGTGGAGTGTGGAGTGTAAAGTGTTGAGTGTGGAGTGTAAAGTGTAGAGTGTGGAGTGTGGAGTGTGAAGTGTGAAGTGCGGAGTGTGGAGTGTAAAGTGTTGAGTGTGGTGTGTAAAGTGTAGAGTGTGGAGTGTGGAGTGTGAAGTGTGGAGTGTAGAGTGTAGAGTGTGAAGTGTGGAGTGTGGAGTGTAAAGTGTTGAGTGTGGAGTGTAAAGTGTAGAGTTTGGAGTGTGGAGTGTGAAGTGTGGAGTGTGGAGTGTAGAGTGTGGAGTGTAGAGCACGCAACGCGACACGTCTGAAGTGCTGCACCTGCCACGCAAAATGACGATGGAGGTCTCCAAAGTGTTGCGCCTGCCACGAAAACTGCAACTCATCTTGTGAAAACGACGCAAAAGTATGTGTGCCTGCCACACAAAACGACTTTCGGCACGGTCTAAAACAGGTTGGAATGTCACAAAGTGGCGCGCCTGCCACGCAAAACGACATGACAACCTGCTCGGAAACCTTCGACAAGGAGAGGTTTTGCAGCTTCTCCCATAGACACCGCGAGGCCACAGGAAAACCAGAGACTCGAGACGGGACATGTTGGAGCATCAAAACGAGCATTTCGTGCGAGACTCCCTCCAGTTTTCACATTTAGCTTCAAAATCGACGTTTTCCTACGTCCTACGAGTATTCTTACGAACCTCAAAATTTTCTACCTCAAAATCAATGTTTCGCGCGAGGCTTCCGTCAATTTTCATCGCATCACACAAAATGCCACGCCTGCCCCGGAATTTGCACCTTGTCGCCGCTTGACGCAGCCCTGACAATGCGATTCGCAAAAAACACGCAAAGCGACACGTCTATATAAAGTGCTGCGCCCGCCACACAAAATGACCACGGAGGTCTCCAAAGTGCTGCGCCTGCCACGAAGACGAAAACTGCAACGCATCTTCGCCACACAAAACGATTTTCGACACGCTACGAAACACGTTTGAATGTCACGAAGTGCCACGCCTGCCATGCGAAACGAAGCAACGCGACATGTGAAACCTCCAAAAGTGACCTTTTTTGCAGAGATAATAGTGGCATGGCCATACGGCCCTCACGCGGACGGTTGCGAACGGTTGCGCAACGTCGAGCGAAGGCACCCTCAACCCCCAGACCCCAGAGTGAAACCGGAACCTTTGCTATATACGCATTCGGGAAAATTGGCGATGTTCCATGCAACGCTGATGATCTGAGATAACATAAGTCTCCTATTTTCGTGCGATTGGCGCTTCCAGTTTGATGGTCGGAATCTGTCGACAGAAATGCTTCAAGGAAACTTAGACGAGCTCCTTTTTGGGGATTGTAAAACTCGGTAAAACATGATAAAACCATGGTTTTGTGTGGTTTTTCCCTCAGATCAAACCAATGGGTAGTGAGAATGGAGTCACACTATGGCCTGGCTGCAGCCATTTGGCTGCGTGCAAGGCATGGAGAGCATGGACATGCTGAAATTCTGCAAAGTGCATATCCCTTTGCCTCAGATATGCGGTCAAAGAGGCACGGGAAATGATTACAGACCAGCCCCCAGCATGCCATCGCCCACAATCCTGTTGCACTGTGGCAACGGCGGCAACGACACAAGTGGCCAGCTGTGATTTTTGCTGCAGCCCATCACCATGGCTTTTGGAGAGGTGGGAGTCACAGGGGTACAGGGTTGGAGGGGAAGGAACCGACCGCCGAAGCCGACACAGATTAAGAGTAGGCATTCCAGAGTCGCTGGTTTCTATGCAAAACATTGCCTCCTAATGTCTTATTTGGACTCCCTAACAAAACAGCAGAATATGCCTTTGTATCTCTTACATGTCCATACATATACACAATGTATATAATTAATATATACATATCATATAGTATATCTTATATATACATACATAGACAGACACATATATATATATATAGATAGATAGATAGCTAGATAGATAGATAGATAGATAGATAGATGGATTCTGTATATATATATATATTACATATTATATATATACATAGATAGGTACATGTAATGTATGTAGGTGTATGTATATATATATATATAATATATGTATATATATATGTATATATATATGTATATATATATATATATATGTATATATATATGTATATTTATATATATGTTATAGGAATTTTAGTGATATATATATACATATTACACACATGATATCAATCTGTTCTTGTCCCAGGAAAGCGCCGCGCACGAAAGTCCAAGTGCAGCTCGAGTGCTGACAGCGGTTGAGAAGGTCTTGGATGAGTGGCTTGCGGGGCAACTCAGTCGGGACCAGATGGGGAAGTTGTTGTTTTTTCCTGAGGGATATTTATTATGGGTGGATTGTGGAATGAAACTTGAGGTTTAGCGAAACAATTTTGATTGACTTTGACCAACAAAACACCCACATTGGATACAAGATCCTTTGCCAACTGATGTCGAACTTAGTGGGCCAGGTTTGCTGCCGCCCTTTTTTTTTGGATCCTGGGTGGCAATTCTAGTGTAGGGATATTATATAAATGATATCGGTCTGTGTCAAATTTAAGGCGTGCCCACCCATGATGATATGTAAATATAATTATGAACTGTATATATAAATATATATATATGTACATATTGCATATATATAAACATATTGTATATATACACATTGTATATATATGTATATATATACATATTGTGTATATACACATTGTATATATACATATTGTATAATTATATATATATACATAGTATATATATATATATACATGATATATATATATACATATTGTGTGTATATATACATATTGTATAATTATATATATATGTATACACACAATATATGCGAACACACCCACACCCACCCACACACACACACACACCGGCATAACCCCTGCAAAGTACAAAATGCGAACATGGCAGGGTTCCACTTTGGTAAGAAGAGATAGATGGCAGAAGATACCTTCCAGATGGCAGATGATGTCGCGTTGGCTCCATTGATGAACTGCATGGATCCTTGTGGGAATCAGGTGACTGGTCTGCATCGAGCAGGAGTCAGGGACTCAGAGGGTATGCCGCGGTGACCCTCCCCAGTTGTATGGTCCTTTCCTGACAGCACCTGGACCCTGCCATCCAGTCATAAACATGGTTTTATAAGCAATGTATATATTAGCATTTCTTGAGGTAGCACATGTTAGTAAAGCAATAGTAAACCAACCCCAATTTCGCATTTTTTATGAATGCTACAACCCATTAAAATATTGGTGGGTTATTATTGCTTTACCAGCTTATACATAAAGATCTCATTGCGAACTTGATTGCCTTTAAAGATGCTAACAAATCGTTTGGAATGGCTGGCACCTGACTTACCGAACTTCTGAGGCAAGGAAATTCATTCAGGACAAGATCTGCAAAGGCGACGCGGAGGACATTCACTCACTCATTGTGTATTTGTTTGTTGGGCGGTTGAGTGCAACTGCATCAACTGCGATTCAACAAATGTCAGACCGGACCCAAAATAAGTCAGTGACCATCAGTGACCGCAGAAAAAATGTCATTGGATTTTGTACTGTCTTAGGAGTGCCAGCATGTTCGGCAATGGCTGCTCCTGCGAATGAATGGCCGCGTTTGGGAACATGGTATTCCATTGATGTGCCGTTCCGCAGAGAATGCGCGGGACTGAGTCGCTACTGATATCGAGACTTCGTCACCTTGGTCAGTGGTATCCAAAAACTTGGAACATGTTCTAATTCTGCGCACCAGCGATGTGGACTACACAACGCCGTGCGTTGTTTTTGGCATATGGGTTCCAATCTTCAAATGCCTCAATGCCATTCACCAGGTCGACACTGGGTCAAACAGCTGAAGTATGTTCCATGCTGGTTAATGCTCCTTGACAAGCAGAACTCTTTGTTGGGCTTCAAATTCACTAACACTAACGAACACGAACTAGTTGGTAAATAAAACAAACATAAACATCATAAACATCATAAACATCATAAACATCATAAACATCATGAACATCATGAACATCATGAACATCATGAACATCATGAACACCAACACTAAGGTAAACAAAGCCATTTAGGGATGATCCCAGTTGACATTCGACTCTTTTTCGGGTCAACCAACCATCAGAGGTGCCCGGACTTCGAAGCATGCCAGTGTGGCCAAGAGAGGAGTGGCGACCTATCGGATAGACCTGGAGTATCCTGGAGTTCAGTGACAAAAAAAGGGGCAACACCCCAAAATCTGGTCGAAATTCATTTTCCCTGTTTGAAAAGCTCTCAATTGGAGGTATAAGCATTTTTAGACACAGCCTAGAGCCCAATCGAGTGTCGAGAATCCTGACCTTTCTTGATGGTCAAGTCGAGTTTTGACCTGGAAAGGTTTAGGCTTGCCTGCAGGAGACAGCTTGGTTGAGTGCTGTGGAGGCTTGGGGTTAGCTCCATGAGCTGATCGTGTTTTCATCCCATAGCTGCGTACACAGCCGTGCTGGAGTCATGAGCGCCTCTGTCTTGAAATCAAGCATGGACACAAGATATATAGGAGCACATACATATTATATATATATACACATATATATATGTAGTATATCGTTCCATACATATAGTATATTGCTATATAAATGTAGTATATTGCTAAAAACAAATAGTATATATATATATATGCTTGTATAAAATATATTTGTTATTATATCTGTCATATACATACATGCCGAGCAGAGGATATATGTTATGGCTGGAGTTTGAGATTACCCTACATTTGTATCTAAGTATATCTAAGTCTATCAAGCTAAGCTTTACCAAAACACATGATTCAGCAGCCTGATTTTCAAATTCTGACGGTGTGGTGGCTGTCAAACTTAAGCCAGTATTTGATTATTTTTTCAAATTTCTTTCATCCTTTTTTGAAGTATCATGTATCGGATCCTGTACCTGGCAAACGCTCCGGCTCGGCTGGTTTCATACTATATCAAGATATATCAAGCAAAAAAGGCAACCACGACATTTTTGAGATCGATATGCCAGATGTGCGGTCGCAGCTTTTCGCAGCCATGGCCGCTGTTTCCAGAGGGACTTGCTGTCGATGCTGCCCCTGCCATTGGCAGCATGGCTGATGCGGGGTGGACAGCGTGGGGATTTTCTAGATGAAAGGATGCAAAAGCTTTGATACAAGTACCTCAGCAATCTTCGGCAATCCCAGATGATGCAGAAAATCAACATCATACAACATCTATCAAAGCTATCAGAATCTATCACCATGCTTTTGGCAACGATATCCATACCCTTCTGTTGATATCTCGAGGTGCAGCGCCTTGTGCGATCGCGTGGTATTACGATGGCCCTCTGGCTGGGTCGGTTTGGAAAATCGACATGGGGCCCAGATTACCAGGATTTTCCCTCTGGTATTCATCAATAGCTATGACATGTTATGGAAAATGAAGGAAAATGATCATTTAAAGAGATGCATCATCGAACTAGAAACGCTATTTTCATCCATTTTCCAGAGCCAAGTGAACAGACATTAGAGGGTATGGTAATTGTTCAAGGGAATATGATGATTGAGAAGATTCAAGAAGTGGATTTGGGGTATACCCCCACTTATGGACAAACCTAAATATTTCCAAATATCCCGGTTGGATCTTTTAACGGGGGATACTGAACATCACCGTTTGATGGTTTGTTGAGATGATATTTCCATGAACTGGGTGATGTATGCCTCACCATCTCTGCAAGTATTGCACGTTATTTTGTCTGATTTTTGGGTGTCCCTCATTTTTGGACACAGTCACATGGGAGGCCAAGCCGGCAAGGGTGGGGCCAGAGTTCAACAATTGGGGACAACTTTTCTTCTCAGATTTGGGACAGCACTTTGGTGCTATTGGATGACAAAGGAAAGGCCAATTGCTAAGGTAATTTAAGCTAGCCATGTGGGCTTTGGGCAGTCAAGATTGGTTACCCCACAACTGGATGGTTGCCAATTGAGAACTCCTGGGATGGTCCCTCGACGAAACCCAGAAATCACTGATTTCATTGGAGGGTGACACTGGTTCTGGGTCATAGGCATTTTCAGATTCCTTGGAGTTTTCAATGCAATACAAGCTTCAAGAACACACTGAGCCACACTACTAGTCACTCACACTGAGCGGGTTCTGAAATGTCCATCATCAGCAGTGATGAGTTTGATACAGTACCTGCTCGGAAATCAAAATGTAAACCACAGGGGAGGAATGTTAGCATTGGTGCCCTGAGGCTGCCTATGCTTGGTGTGCGGTTGTCTGAACCCGTGCCAATGGGTGCCATGATTCAGGCACCACGAAGAATGATCCTGATGAGATGGTGTAAGTACATGTAAGTACTGTCGCTGAGTCACCAACAAATATTGGGATCCTTCTTTAAAAAGTATGTAATTATTTGTATTGTATCTGTATATATATATATATGTATGTATATATATATATCATCACATTCACAGAGAAAAAACATGGAAAACTATACAACGAGCGTGCTTACTCATATATAATGCATGATATTGAGATATCGAGGATGTGACTAGCCACAATGTGGAACAAATATATATGGGGTTTCCTCAAGTGGCTGTTGCTCCCAGAATTGGCACCACCACCCGGTTTTGTGCAGCTTAGAAATGGACTGCCAAAATGGACAGCAATCACAGATTGGAAGGTTGCAGTATAGTCACTTCTCGTTCTGGTAGTGTTTGATGGCAATCACGCACAGAACAGAACACGTGGCAATACACATTGTGTTGAAAAATTGCCCCCTGCATTGTGTTGAACCCCACCTCGATGGGAGACCTGGTGACTACGGCTGCTCGGATTTTGGCAAATGGTTCAACAGATACACCCAAGGTTCATGCGTGAAGGGCATTTGTGGGGATGGTTTTTTTCTTGTTATATATATATACATATATATATATACATATATATATATATATATATACATATATATATACAATTAGAATCGTAGAATCCTTCTCTGGAGACTCTGAATCGAAGACTGCAATGGGACATGATAATATTAAACAGGTATTATATGTATATATATATATACGTAAACGAGGGCCACTTATGTTACTTGGACAATCTTGGACATATATATATATAGTTATACATATATATATATACATAGTAATCTATAATTATGTCATATATTAACCCTACATACCTCTACATTGATACGGATAACCCCCAATGATTCCCCAGCCCCAACAGGTGAGGAGACTTCGTTTGCCTCTGGCCATTTGTGTAGTGAGTCTGGTGGCAGCAGGCGTGGCGGGCGGAACTTTTGAGGGAAACCCTTGGTTCTAAACGAAACCTACTTTTTTGGGGGGTTTGGGTGCTTGAATGTGGTTGATGATGCCATTGTTTTTGGGGGTGTCAGAAGTCAACTCATTTCGTGGGTTTAGACATACGGGTGAGCCATGGCCCATGACAAGATTGTTTTCCGGCCAGGACGTCCACAAACCTATTGAAATGTGTACTTCACATACACCGTGGATCAAATAATTCCATTTATTTCAGTGTGGCATGACCAATCATGACTTAATCATGACCATCGCAAAGGCTGGCAAAGTAGGACGATTCAGTTGACCAAATTGCTGCATATTTGGGCTAGCCACTAGCCCTTTGGAGCTGCACAGTGCCCAATCGGTGCCCGGACCCAGGAGCTTTGCAGATTTGGTGTTTGATCGAAGGCTGTCTACTGCTGCTGAATGGTCTTCCTGGAGACTGCGAGGCGTCGTCGAGGGTTGCCATGACTGGGATCCAGATTTTTCCGATGCGATGGTTTGAAAGCCTTTCAAAGCACCAGATGAGACAATAGTCATTCAATAGTCTGGAATTGCCTGGCAGTGACAGAAAGACATGTGAACATATGTGAACTGCTGAAGAGCATGTACAGTGTACAGCAAGATAAGCGGTGCCAGTGGCCAGTGGGCCAGGCAGCGCGTCAGTGGCTGGTGGCCTATTGTGTGAGCCTAGCTATGGTGACCTGGGCTCGGCTGGAACCCAAATATTTTTGGTGAAGCCCATGGAATCCCATGGAAACATGAAGCATCACCAAACCATCCGATATGAATGGGAAATTTTGGGACTCTGAATTCTTTTGTGAATACATCTGAATGACTAAAATTACCTGGAAACAACAGATTGAAATCCTGGGTCAAGGGTTGGACAAAGCCCAGATGCATATTGGATTCCTGAGATTCCCCGAACCGTAACATCGGGGGAAACCTGAAACCAGTCATCCACCTCCCGCCATGGTCTGCCTATTTTGAAAGGCTCTTGGTCTGGGAGCCCCCCACTCTCTACCCTTGGTACATCTTGGTACAAGAACTGACAGGCAAACTCCTTACGCTTCTGGCCAATGGTGACCGACACTGGCATCCGGGGTATGCCTCTAGAGGTCAAAAGATGCAACGAATAGAGATGTTTCAGAGGCCACAACCCGTGTTGATTGTCTATGAAATGGGGGGGTATGAACCTATTTGGTTAGGGACCATCATCATGCAACCAGATGTTCCAGAAGCTGAAGCAGCTTACCCCGTTCAATCAGGTGCCTTTCGCCAACATAGTTGCAATTGCTGCACAAGTGTGGTGGGTCACTGGGGGCAGCGTCAATGTGGTGTCCAACCACTGCAGAGAAGTTGCGCCGTATCTGTGCTTTGGCAGTTGAAGTGTTTGTGGTTTGAGGCATATTCAACCAGTTTCAGTTGATTGGTTGATACTGATAATGATTAATACATAATATCTATGTAATTGTATTAGCCACTATCATCCATTCTCCATGAATCAATGCAATAGATTAATCATATCAATCAGTTGTGCAGGCTTTAAGGATAGATAAAATATTCTGTGCTTTCTACAACTTTGCAGTGCAATGTTGGATTGGGTACGATGCAACAATGTGCTTGTTGGGATTGATCATGCTCGGGAGAAAGGTCCAGCTTTTACTAAGTGCGCCCTCATTTGCCTAGGAGGATCGAACGGATTTCTTATTTTCACTACCGCGGTTTGTCTGAGTTCGAATGTTTTTTTTCTAAGTTTTGCTGCCAAACAAGAAATAGAGATTAGTGATGATAGTGAGCCAAAATTCATCATCAGCAATGAGAAATACTCTTGGCACAGTGATTTCGCTGTTTTTTTGAGCCCTTTGGCACTGCAGCTGTGCCACTGATGTTGGCCTCGGTCCGTCGGTCAGGATTGGTTTCATCCGAGATGTGCAGCTCCGTGGCCTCTGGACGTTGCTTCTGCTGGTGATCTTCTCATTTTCCTTGGTCATTGTGAGGCCACAGAATCGGGCTGAGATGTCATGGATCTCTCTTATGATGTCCGGAAACTGTGAATTCCGTGGTACATGGCTACTTGATGCTACTTGGAGAAGAGGGTCCAAGAATCAAATCTACCAGACGGACAGGAACACAGCAGTTTTGTAGATTCTGCTTTTTGCCATCGTTACCTGATTGGCTAATATCTACACACTTATATTGTGCAAATTCATTCGCTAATTGGGAATCATGACCATGTGATTGAGTATGAGGATGAGGATGATGATGATGATGATGATTCCACGAATCATGGCCAGGAAGTTGCAGATGTCTTTGCGTGAGCCAAGCACTAAGTGACCGGCTTGCCATGGATCCCTCAGATGATTTGAGGGCCACAACTCTTTTGGGGCACGTTCGCAACGAATAATGTCCAGGAACATGAGCACTGTTGCCGATAGGATCGCACTCGTACTTTATACTGCTGTTTGTCGCAGTACAAAGCATGTACAACCATGTACAGTCATGTCCAATTGATAGATGTTGATAATCAAGTACAACACCAATACGGACATCATCAGCAGTCAATGCCAGTTTCAAAATAACTCTGGACCTGACGACTCTCAGGGTGTGGGCCTCCGGCGCACCTACGCTGAGAAGCGTAATCAACGCTGTAATGCAGGCAGTGATGGGAAAACCGGGGTCTGTTTGTGGGGTGGTTTGATTTCTGAATTTGGCTATACAAGATCATGTCAAAATGTACTGTAATAGGCATATATAATATATACGTATATACATATATATATATACATAAATATGTATAATATGTACATGTCTGTATGTATGTATTTATATGTACACACACATATATATATGTATAAATATATATATAATGTACACACGTTAATATGCCAATATCAACCTCTGCAAGTTTGCAAGTTTCGAGCTTTGGCTTGCAGACAGCGAAGAATGTATCCGTGATATGCAGTGATTACAGAGTGCCAGTGGCGTTACTGGATCGAAGGTGGATAGCTGGAAATCCCCGAACTAAATGGTGGATTTTCCAGCACACCATGGCTGATCGATTTCAGCAACAGGCTCCAGCTGTGGAAGTTCCGGCAGATACCGAGTGTGCGATTTGTTTGGAGCCTCTTGGCAGTTGAGGCTTTATCTGGACATGAGTCAACATTTATGTATGATATTGTGATATTGTATGACATGTGTATACATATATACATACACATAACATACACATTAATATATATATAGTATTATATTTAATACAGCCAAATTGGGTCGAAACATCTGGGGTCCCTTAAAACTCCTTAGATATTGACCCATACCTATGTGCCTGTTGTTCGTGTTTTTTTTGTGGTATCATGTCAGTTTCTGCGTTCTGGAATTCATCACTATCATCCTTTGGCATCCTTTGGGGTATCCCGGTGGGTCCACTCCGAAACTGGAGGTCAAACGAAGGAATCTGGAAGGCCTTGCCTTGCGATCATTCCTTCCATCAGGTGGGAACAGATGATCAAAACTGCTGATTGCCAGTGGATTTCGGAAGGTCCTTTATACATTTTATACATCTTTATACATCTTTATACATCTTCATACATCTTTAAGCATCCCCCTGGCTGGGATGGTTAGATACCCAACACGTATGTATTGCACGGCTTGAGTACAGTGAGTACATGGTGTAGTCGCTCACCATGTCCTCAACGACTCAGTGAGGATTGCTTACTCCGTTGGCTCCATTGTGGCCGCCGCTGCCCGCTGTGCCGACTGGATTTGCACAGAGCATTTTTGGAGACGGAGACCGCAGGCACAGGGGGTGTCTATTAGAACATCCGCAGTCCCTGTAAGGATCCGCTGGATGTGTTAAACTTCTTGACCATTTCGGTGCAACTCTACCTTTGAATGGTGCTGCAGCAAATGTATCCAGGCAAATAATGAAGACCTCAATTGACCTCACTACATATGGTACATCCTTTCTTTCTGTATTCCAGTTTTGTGAAGCATGATAACTTGCCAACATCCACATTTCAAATAGTTCCAAACAAGTTCCAAACGGTCTGATTTTGACCTGGGCCTATCTGTTGGGTGGTTGCAGTATTCCAGTAGACTGCCTTGTTCCAGTCTATGTACATCTATGTACTGCACCCTGTGGAAGAGTCTTCATTGGACAATGACCCTACGGCCCAGTCTCGCCGTTTTCAACAAGAAATGAACAGTGGCGAGTGCTCCTTTTTATGGTCAGCTCAACTCAACTATATGCACTTTTTTGTTTTTTCATCCTGGTCCATGGCTACTATTGATATTTCCCCACATTGACGTGTGGGGTTTTTGTTTTTAGTTCTGTATCCGCTCCTCCTCGTCCTCCTCGTCCTCCTTCCCGTCCTCCCTCCCTCCTCCCTCCCTCCCTCACTCCCTCACTCACTCACACTCACTCACTCACTCACTCACTCACACTCACACTCTCACTCTCACTCTCACTCTCACTCTCACTCTCACTCTCACTCTCACTCTCACTCTCACTCTCACTCTCACTCTCACTCTCACTCTCACTCTCACTCTCACTCTCACTCTCACTCTCACTCTCACTCTCACTCACTCACTCACTCACTCACTCACTCACTCACTCACTCACTCACTCACTCACTCACTCACTCACTCACTCACTCACTCACTCACTCACTCACTCACTCACTCACTCACTCACTCACTCACTCACTCACTCACTCACTCACTCACTCCCTCACTCACTCACTCCCTCACTCACTCACTCACTCACTCACTCACTCACTCACTCACTCACTCACTCACTCACTCACTCACTCACTCACTCACTCACTCACTCACTCACTCACTCACTCACTCACTCACTCACTCACTCACTCACTCACTCACTCACTCACTCAATCACTCACTCACTCACTCACTCACTCACTCACTCACTCACTCACTCACTCACTCACTCACTCACTCACTCACTCACTCACTCACTCACACACACTTTTGCGTGGCAGGCGTGGGACAATGTGCACTGCCAAGGGGTCGGATGTACGCCCTGGCGTCCCTTGGTCTCCGCCTCTTTTGCGTGGCAGGCGTGGGACAATGTACATTGCCAAGGGGTCGGATGTACGCCCTGGCGTCCCTTGGTCTCCGCTTCTTTTGCGTGGCAGGCGTGGGACAATGTGCACTGCCAAGGGGTCGGATGTACGCCCTGGCGTCCCTTGGTCTCCGCCTCTTTTGCGTGGCAGGCGTGGGACAATCTGCATTGCCGTGGGACAATGTGCACTGCCAAGGGGTCGGATGTACGCCCTGGCGTCCCTCGGGCTCCGCTTCTTTTGCGTGGCAGGCGTGGGACAATGTGCACTGCCAAGGGGTCGGATGTACGCCCTGGCGTCCCTTGGTCTCCGCCTCTTTTGCGTGGCAGGCGTGGGACAATGTGCACTGCCAAGGGGTTGGATGTACGCCCTGGCGTCCCTTGGTCTCCGCCTCTTTTGCGGGGTCTGGTACGCCCTGGCGTCCCTTGGGGCTCCGCCGCTTTTGCGTGGCAGGCGTTGGGACAATGTGCACTGCCAAGGGGTCGGATGTACGCCCTGGCGTCCCTTGGGCTCCGCCTCTTTTGCGTGGCAGGCGTGGGACAATGTGCATTGCCAAGGGGTCGGATGTACGCCCTGGCGCCTTGGCGGGCTTCCGCCAGGCGTGGGACAATCTGCACGCAAGGGTGATGTCGCCCTGGCGTCCCTTGGGGGCTCCGCGCTTTTGCGTGGCAGGCGTGGGACAATGTGCACTGCCAAGGGGTTGGATGTACGCCCTGGCGTCCCTTGGGGCTCCGCCGCTTTTGCGTGGCAGGCGTGGGACAATGTGCAGTGCCAAGGGGTCGGATGTACGCCCTGGCGTCCCTCGGGCTCCGCCTCTTTTGCGTGGCAGGCGTGGGACAATGTGCACTCCGCGTCTTTTGCGTGGCAGGCGTGGGACAATGTGCACTGCCAAGGGGTCGGATGTACGCCCTGGCGTCCCTTGGGCTCCGCCTCTTTTGCGTGGCAGGCGTGGGACAATGTGCATTGCCAAGGGGTCGGATGTACGCCCTGGCGTCCCTTGAGAAGGGTCGGATGTACGCCCTGGCGTCACTTGGGCACCGCCTCTTTTGCGTGGCAGGCGTGGGACAATGTGCACTGCCAAGGGGTCGGATGTACGCCCTGGCGTCCCTTGGGCTCCGCCTCTTTTGCGTGGCAGGCGTGGGACAATGTGCACTGCCAAGGGGTCGGATGTACGCCCTGGCGTCCCTTGGGTCTCCGCCTCTTTTGCGTGGCAGGCGTGGGACCATGTGCACTGCCAAGGGGTCGGATGTACGCCCTGGCGTCCCTTGGGTCTCCGCCGCTTTTGCGTGGCAGGCGTGGGACAATGTGCACTGCCAAGGGGTTGGATGTACGCCCTGGCGTCCCTTGGGGCTCCGCCGCTTTTGCGTGGCAGGCGTGGGACAATGTGCACTGCCAAGGGGTTGGATGTACGCCCTGGCGTCCCTTGGGGCTCCGCCTCTTTTGCGTGGCAGGCGTGGGACAAGGTGCACTGCCAAGGGGTCAGATGTACGCCCTGGCGTCCCTTGGGGCTCCGTCGCTTTTGCGTGGCAGGCGTGGGACAATGTGCATTGCCAAGGGGTCTGATGTACGCCCTGGCGTCCCTTGGGGCTCCGCCTCTTTTGCGTGGCAGGCGTGGGACAATGTGCATTGCCAAGGGGTCTGATGTACGCCCCAACGTCCCTTGGGGCTCCGGCTCTTTTGCGTGGCAGGCATGGGCCTCCGCCGCTTTTGCGTGGCAGGCGTAAGACAATGTGCACTGCCAAGGGGTCAGATATACGCCCTGGCAGGCGTGGAACATGTACTTACTTACTCACTCACTCACTCACTCACTCACCCACGCACTCACTCACTCACTCACTCACTCACTCACTCACTCACTCACTCACACACTCACTCACTCACTCACTAACTCACTCACTCACTTACTCACTCATACATTGGATATCGATACACGTTGGTTTCGCGTCGCATCGTTGTCCTTCTTTCTGGTTCGCATGGAAACGGGACTTCGCCACCTTACCCCTCGACACATGCACACACGATACAAGGTATACGTGTCCAGGCTCCTCCTCAGGTCTTATGATTTTAAAAGGAAGTGATGGTGTACCATGGCCTTGCCATCAGCCACGGTACATCTATTGTCACTTCCTCCCAATTGAATCTATGATAACCTTCGGCCTGTAACCCCGGTTCCCCCCGATCTCTTGTTGTGGGCAGATAGGCCTCTCTCTGGACGGACGGACTTTTCTAAGTAAAAGAAAAGCAAAAACTATTTTCTGTTGCTTCTTCAAAGTGATCCCCTTTGAGAAGGTCCATTGACCTTTTTTGGGATTGATCGAGTGGCCTCAAATTGATGGTTGACGAGGTCATTTTGAAGAAGCAAGTAACTAGCTATTTGCTGGAGAAGAACGTCACGGCGATCACCAAGGTCATCACAGATGTGTGAAGAAAAGGGTGAGCAAGGAGAACAACAGCTACCTTGCTGTTTTGAAGCCAGGAGAAACACCTCGCCACTGCCTAGGCGAAACAGATGGACGTGTTACAGTGGCTGGCGGTGGTGTCATGTGGTTCCCACCTATCAGCAGACAAACTCAACATGTACACACACGAGACGTGTGACTGGCTATCTGTCTGCGAGGGTATCCACCTCCGTCCAAAACGCGACGGACGACCAGGTTGTCCCCGTGCGCGCTTTGGTTCAGCTGCTGCAAGCAGTGATCGCGTCAAGCTGTTGCAGGACAATCTCGGGACTGACAAAAGTTTTAGTTAGGCTCGCCATGACATTACACACTTGGTCACGTATTGTGATGCGGTGCACATCGTCGAATCATTGTCTCACAGCTATGGAATATTTCGATTTGACAACCTTAGCAATTTGCTTACACTGTTCAAACATATATATTATATATGTAACTATTGCCCGTTCCTATTATAATATTCTCAGGGGCTAGCGGCTAGGATGGTTCCCCCACCTTGGCGGGGGGCAGGGCGGTTCGTCGCCTGACTCAGCACCTCCGTGAGCAACTACTCCAAGGCAGGCTCTTGCCTCTGGGCTGCAGCTCCAGTTCCGGGAGTTTTTTTTTTAGAAATTTGCTTTCAACGGACTTGGAAGCCGGGGTCACCGTGAGGTCTGTACGTCATTTAAATCACTATTGAAGATGCTTTCTGATTCCGGTACGTTGAGCTCCGGGCATTTGCGATGGAAGGAAAAGAACAGGTTCATCTTCAGTCCTGTTTCATTCTCGGTCTGCAGGTACGCCAGGGCGTCGATGCCTTCGTCCTTACCAAACGGTTCGGCTTCGGTCGAGCCGACACCACGTTGGCCGGTGGTGGGGACGTTAATGGGAGGCCGTGCGCATCAACGACAACCTTCCTTCCCAACGACACACCGCGCCTTTCCCTCTCACTCTCACTCACTCACTCACTCACTCACTCGCTCACTCGCTCACTCACCCACTCACCCACTCACCCACCCACTCACTCACTCACCCACACACAAACACACACACACACTCAATCACTCACTCACTCACTCCCTCACTCCCTCCCTCACTCACCCTCTCACTCAGTTCGCTTCACTTCCATCATCATCATCATCATCATCATGATCATCATCATCATCATGATCATCATCATCATCATGATCATGATCATGATCATGATCATCATCATCATCATCATCATCATCATCATGTGCCAGCGATGTTTACCAGCCACAGGGCATGCAGAAAGAATTCACAAAATGTGCGGCTGCGCTCGAAAGAGTGCAGAACATTACTTTGGTCAGCGAAAGTATGGTGAGCACACCATCGTTTTGATAGTGTGTCGGAAGGCTGGAAAGGCGAGGCCGTTTCGAATGTGTGTTAAACATGTATGGTGTTGAATATGTCAGGCACACCAACAGTTTGTTCCTCACATTGACGTGTGGGGTTTTTGCTCCCCACATTGACTTGACTTGGTGTAGGTTATTCAAATCACTTTTAAGTTATGCCATGCAGTTATGATGTTTCCGGTCTGTGCCGGGAACGGAAAAGAGAACGCAGACACTCACTCACTCACACACTCACACACTCACACACTCACTCACTCACACTCACAACTCACACACACACACACTCACTCACTCTCACTCACTCACTCACTCACTCACTCACTCACTCACTCACTCACTCACTCACTCACTCACTCACTCACTCACTCACTCACTCACTCACTCACTCACTCACTCACTCACTCACTCACTCCACTCACTCCACTCACTCCACTCACTCCACTCACTTCACTCCACTCACTCCACTCCACTCACTCACTCCACTCACTCCACTCACACTCACTCACTCACACTCACTCACTCACACTCACTCACACTCACTCACACCACTCACACCACTCACTCCACTCACTCCACTCACTCCACTCACTCCACTCACTCCACTCACTCCACTCACTCCACTCACTCCACTCACTCCACTCACCCCACTCACTCCACTCACTCACCCCACTCACTCCACTCACTCACTCCACTCACTCACTCACTCCACTCCACTCACTCACTCCACTCACTCCACTCACTCCACTCACTCCACTCACTCCACTCACTCCACTCACTCCACTCACTCCACTCACTCCACTCCCTCCACTCACTCCACTCACTCCACTCACTCCACTCACTCCACTCACTCCACTCACTCCACTCACTCCACTCACTCCACTCACTCCACTCACTCCACGCCACTCCACGCCACTCCACGCAACTCCACGCAACTCCACTCCACTCCACTCCACTCCACTCCACTCCACTCCACTCCACTCAACTCCACTCAACTCCACTCAACTCCACTCAACTCCACTCAACTCCACTCAACTCCACTCAACTCACTCACTCACTCACTCACTCACTCACTCACTCACTCACTCACGCACGCACGCACGCACGCACGCACACACGCACACACGCACACACGCACACACGCACACACGCACACACGCACACACGCACACACTCACACACTCACTCACTCACTCACTCACTCACTCTCTCCCTCGCTCCCTCGCTCCCTCGCTCCCTCGCTCCCTCGCTCCCTCGCTCCCTCGCTCCCTCGCTCCCTCGCTCCCTCGCTCACCCACTCACTCACTTCACTTCACTTCGCTTCGCTTCGCTTCGCTTCGCTTCGCTTCACTTCACTTCACTTCACTTCACTCACTTCACTCACTCTCACATCCCTCACTCACACACACCACACTCGCATCACTCACTCACCCTCTCACTCACTCACTGTACATGAACATACATACATACACACAAACTCACCCACCATCACCGCTCCATCACTCTTATACTTCCTCTTCCCTTCTTGCTCTTCTATGGTCAGTCTAAGTCTAAAGAAGTTGGTAACATGTGGGGTTATCCGGTCCTTTAATTTTTGTGGGAAGATTGAACGCATGGACAATTTCAATCAATTTCATATGTTAGTGACCCGAATCAGTCTGACCTTACCAAGTGGACTGGACATGGCCAGATCATGAAGTAAAAAGCGTCAGGCAGTACCGGAGAAGCACCACAAGTTTCTGCACAAATGATCTGAAGTTTGGTAAATCTGCAGCAGTGGCCTACCATATCCTAAGATCAAGCATTTTCCAATGGACCCAGAGCTGAATGACAGCTGGGCCTTGGAGACGGAGACCGGAGCGAAGCAGCGCTCTTGTACAAAGCGATATCATACAGATTATATACAGATTATATACAGATTCAACAATGATTCAGTAGGCATTTTTTTCAGCCGCGAAGACTCGAAGATTCGCCTTTCCAACTCTTTGATCAGAGATCCATTTTGTTTTGTTTGCAAGAATTGTCGGTGAAACAAGTCACTGATTCTTCCCCATGACAGCCAATTTGTAGCCAGGGTTCATATTCTTCATGAGATCACTTGAAAGTTGGGCTTAGGGATCTAGTATGCTCTCGTACCATTTGCAAATGAGAAGACCATTGGTCATGAACTCAGAGTAAACCGGAGTAAACCTTGAGCAAAGTGAACATAACGAGAGTGCTTTCCCTATCTTTGCCTATCGTAAGCGTTTGCTTAAGGCTTGAAATACAAGTTCCCGGACTCTTGACTGGCACTGGGTGTGTAGCGGCCACCATCTCTTATCTCATTTGCCCAGCACAGATACATGAAAGGTTGGAAAGGTGTGCCGCGGTGTATGCTATGTCCAAGGCATGTGCATCCACTTCTGCTCACTCTCATTTGGCCTTGCTGCCATAGGAGCTCCGAACGAGCGATACGCTTACAGGGTGACAGACCTGTCAATAAGTGGCACTTCATCTAGCTCGTTGCTTACTTTTAGTGGACCATCGGGCGATGAAAAAGACTTCGAGGCTTCTTGGTCGTTTTGTTCTATTCTACTTGTGGTTGTGGGACTCCACAGTTTTTCGACTGTTGCTATATGTTGCTACTGTTGATGCCACTTGGGATATCTTGGGAGTCAGATCTTCAGATCCAGATCCAGGCACGACACTCCGAGATCCTGGCCGAACTGATGGCTGTGAGGAAGACGTCAGGGTGCCCGGGGGATCCCGGGAGGTCCCGGGAGTGGGTGTCTCAAACGACCATGGAGAAACTTCTACGGAGCTAATTTGAAGTCGCAAGACTCACAGAAACACCATGAAAATCAATGAAAATCAATGAAAATCATTGAAACACACGAATAAATTATGGAATAAATTGAATGGAATCCTACTGGGATTTCGAAGAAGATGAACAAGCCACTGCTCATGGCGATCTCAGAAATTTCGCTTAGGCCGGAGCTCAGCGGCTTTCAACCCTACCGAGATCCAGTCCATTCCCAGGGACGACCTGCAGCCGACGGGCTGGGAGTTGAAGGTCGGCTGGGAGAGCTGGGAGTCTTGGCTATGTCGGCTATGTAATCCGCATCCGATCATGGTGAGGATTCAAAGGTAATTCAATGATAATAACAATGAAAAATGACTATAGACATCTATAGACTATAGTAATCGTATCATATCGTATCCATACTCAGTTCAATAATAATTGAAATAAGAAATTATAGCTATTATATTGAAACAACATGAAACAAACATAATTAAACAGATTAACCCCTTCAAGCCCCCCTAGATGAGTCAATTCCTATGACAGGAGGATTTCCATGAACGCCAGCTCTCTTTTGAGGTGAACCGAAGGATACCAGGCTTCAGATACTCAGATCGGGTGATGATATGGGACTTGGGCATCAGCCCAAAAATTGGGGCACATCCCAAAAAATTGCCAATGGTGAACGAGCATTATGTTCAGAACAAGCTTTGGCTTTTGGTGTTTTCCCTGATTTTCAGAACAGTCCATATTCAGAAAACATCACGTTGAACCACTTGTTCCAAGCCCAGAATTGGTTGAAAATCTGCAGGGTTCCCAATGTTTCCCTGGCAGATGTTCCCAAAAACACCACCTACCGTTGGTTCAAGATAAGACTGCCCATGTTTCAGGCGTTGATCGGGGAATGTGGAATGTGCTCTACCTCTTCCTGAACCACAAACAATTTGAGGAGCTGGGCAGATCATGGCAGATCATTGGTACAGCTGGAGCCCTCCAAACTCAATTCAATGGGTTATGTTCACAGATTTTCAAGGGAAAATCTACCGGAAACCATGGATTTATCTGCAAACATGCTGTTTTCCTAGAAACTTCCACCCAAAAAATCTGGAACCCATGTGATTGGAAGAATGACATGCTCGGGGATGGTGAATGAACAGGACAATTGCCTGCGCTTCCCGAAAACCATCGCTGCCATCCAGGACAGAACCAGGATTTTGCCCACCCTGGGGATGGAACAGATCGCAGTGGAGAGTCATCCCACTTAACAAGTGCCCCACTTAATTAGTGGAAAGCCCATCCTTATGATCTATAACTATCTATAACTATCTATAACTTATGTTTACTTGGATCATTTGCATAGTCCCACTTAATAAGTGGGTAAGTAGCGGGCGATGCTTATAGATTATGCTTCCCCGAGCAGTGTTCGGCGCTGCACCGGTTGATTTTTTGGAGATGTTTGGACTGTGTGGTCCACCTCTCTTTGGGAAGATATTAGCCACATCATATTAATCAATATTTAGTGACTCTAGTTTTTCCGCTATCAGTGACCTTATTTTACGCGCGCTTAATCCACAGTCTCAATATTAAACATATTTTGGAGTTTTTTTGAACCAAGAATACATATGAAAACATGAATGAAACAGGACAGATGTTATCACCCGTTCACCTGGCCATGTCTTCAGGAGGCATTTCCAAGGCACTATTCCCATGTGCTCCTGGCATGGTTGCAGAGTCTGTTGTTTGGGCCAAAATTTGGGGTACCAATAACACATAGACCCAACCAAATTTCACGTTTGTTTAGGTATATTCTATGAAACCATCCATGTTTAATCATTTTATGTGGGGCTGATGTTTTTTTTGACCTTACCCATCCAGGTCAAAATTTCCGTGGGAGATCTGGCCAGGCCTTTTTCTCGGCTCTGACTCCTGGCTCCCATATCCTGAAACACATGGGACCCTCCAACCGGATGCTACGAGTTTGGTTCCTTGGCTGCCAAAGAAACTGCAGATGGGTGTGTCTGAAATGGGGATATACTGTACATGGATATTATATGATATATACAATGACAATTGACAATGATATACAGTACTTCACACCCCCCAGTTTTAGCCAGTGGGGAAAATGATGATGCATTGAAATTGGGGATACCCCATTAACACAAAGCCATGGAGTATCATATGGTTGACAAGTTGACAGCAGCAAAGTGGTAAAATTGGGAATTTATCAATCACGAAAGCCAGCCGCTAGGCTAGGCGAAGTTCTATATGCGAACAAAGTGAGTTAAGGGAGTCTGGGGGCAGAGCGCCCGAAAACGGACAAAAATGAGGAACTTAGGTGGTAAAAAAGGTGGCCACAGGTAAACTTTTTTAGGGTTATGTACCAGGTGGCAATTGGGTGACGTTGGGGTATCGATTCCCCCCTGGTCCGCCCTCCGAGGTGGATCTGGGCAGATTGCAATGGAGGGGAAAATGATGAGAAAAACAATAGAAAAAATGAGGGAATATGACATAAAACAATGGGAAAAAAATGGGAAAGGAGGGGAAAATGATGAGAAAAACAATGGAAAAAAAGGAGGACTTTGACATAAAACAATGGAAAAAAATGGGAAAGCAATGGAAAATTTGAGTAGAACGCTTGGAAAATTGATTAAAACGCGAGGAGAAACGGTGGAAAGAATAGGGAGATGGTAAAATGGCTCCGATGTGGGACCATTATCGCGTAAAGCACGCGTGAAACAATGGAAAAGCAATGGAAAAATTGCAGTTTCGATGTGTGACCACTATGGAGTAGAAGCACAGAAAAAAAACCATGGAGGAAACGAGCAAAACCGTTTATACGGTGCAACTGTAGGGATTGTGGAAGGTGCATTTGGGCAAGCGTTAGACACACTGGAGAAATCGAGTAACACCATGGCAAAACACTGGAAAAATTGATGAAATGGAAGGATAAATTGATCGCACAAAAACGCGAGGAAGAACGGTGGAAAGAATAGGGAGAGGGTAAAATGATGCCAAGTAAAATTGAGGCTCCGATGTGGGACCATTATCGCGTAAAGCACGCGTGAAACAATGGAAAAGCAATGGAAAAGTTGCAGTTTTGATGTGCCAAGTAAAATTGAGGCTCCGATGTGGGACCATTATCGCGTAAAGCACGCGTGAAACAATGGAAAAGCAATGGAAAAATTGCAGTTTCGATGTGTGACCACTATGGAGTAGAAGCACAGAAAAAAACCATGGAAGAAACGAGCAAAACCGTTTATACGGTGCAACTGTAGGGATTGTGGAAGGTGCATTTGGGCAAGCGTTAGACACACTGGAGAAATCGAGTAACACCATGGCAAAACACTGGAAAAATTGATGAAATGGAAGGATAAATTGATCGCACAAAAACGCGAGGAAAAACGGTGGAAAGAATAGGGAGAGGGTAAAATGATGCCAAGTAAAATTGAGGCTCCGATGTGGGACCAGGAAAAAATGAGGGAATATGACGTAAAACAATGGGGAAAAAATGGGAAAGCAATGGAACATTTGAGTAGAACGCTTGGAAAATTGATTAAAACGCGAGGAGAAACGGTGGAAAGAATAGGGAGAGGGTAAAATGATGCCAAGTAAAATTGAGGCTCCGATGTGGGACCATTATCGCGTAAAGCACGCGTGAAACAATGGAAAAGCAATGGAAAAATTGCAGTTTTGATGTATGACCACTATGGAGTAGAAGCACGGAAAGAAAACCATGGAAGAAACGAGCAACACCGTTTATACGGTGCAACTGTAGGGATTGTGGAAGGTGCACTTGGGTAAGCGTTAGACACACTGGGGTAACATAAGGGTAATGATGGAGAAATCGAGTAACACCATGGCAAAACACTGGAAAATTGAAATGGAAGAATAGATTGATAGCATATAAAACAATGGGAAAAGAATGGAAAATTTGAGTAGAACGCTTGGAAAATGATTCCAAGTAAAATAAAAGTAAAAGGATGGAAATTGATGGGGTGGAAAAACAATGGAAAAATTGAGGCTCCGATGTGGGACCATTATCGCGTAAAGCACGCGTGAAACAATGGAAAAGCAATGGAAAAAATGCGGTTTCGATGTGTGACCACTATGGAGTAGAAGCACGGAAATAAAACCATGGAAGAAACGAGCAAAACCGTTTATACGGTGCAACGGTAGGGATTGTGGGAGGTGCATTTGTGTAAGCGTTAGACACACTGAGATAATAGAAGGGTAATGATGGAGAAATCGAGTAACACCATGGCAAAACACTGGAAACATTGATGAAATGGAAGGATAAATTGATAGCGTAAACTATGGGACGATTGAGTAAAACTGGAGGAAAAACTGTGAAAAAAACACTGGGGAGACTGGAATGGAGGGGAAAATGATGTCGAGTAAAACTATGGAAAAGCAATGGACAAAATGAAAAAAATGTGGCTTCGATGTGAGACCATTAGCGATGGAAAAGCAATGGAAAAATCGAGGGACTATGATGAAGAAGTGGAGAAAAACAATGGAAAACATATTGGAAAAAATGCGGCTCTGATGTGGGACCAAAATGATGCCAAGTAAAATAAGAGTAAAATGACAGAAATTGATGGGATGGAAACACAATGGAAAAATTGAGGCTCCGATGTGGGACCATTATATGTGCAAGAAGAGTTTCTGGGTGAAGAGTCTCTAGGTGAAAAGTTTATATGGGTGAAAAGTTTGTGCAAGAAGAGTTTCTGGGTGAAGAGTCTCTGGGTGAAAAGTATATGGGTGAAAAGGTGCAAGAAAGTTTCAGTATGTGCAAGAAGAGTTTCTGGGTGAAGAGTCTCTGGGTGAAAAGGGTGAAAAGTATGTGCAAGAAGAGTTTCTGGGTGAAGAGTCTCTGGGTGAAAAGTATATGGTGAAAAGTCTGTGCAAGAAGAGTTTCTGGGTGAAGAGTCTCTGGGTGAAAAGTATATGGGTGAAAATATGTGCAAGAAGAAGTTCTATGGGTGAAAAGGTGAAGAGTCTCTGGGTGAAAAGTGTATTGGTGAAAAGTATGTGCAAGAAGAGTTTCTGGGTGAAGTCTCTGGGTGAAAAGTATATGGGTGAAAATATGTGCAAGAAGAGTTTCTGGGTGAGGAGTTTCTGGGTGAAAAGTATATGGGTGAAAAGTATGTGCAAGAAGAGTTTCTGGGTGAAGAGTCTCTGGGTGAAAAGTCTCTGGGTGAAAAGTATATGGGTGAAAAGTATGTGCAAGAAGAGTTTCTGGGTGAAGAGTTCTGGGTAAAAAGTATATGGGCGAAAAGTATGTGCAAGAAGAGTTTCTGGGTGAAAAGTCTGTGCAAGGAGAGTTTCTGGGTGAAGAATCTCTGGGTGAAGAGTGTATGGGTGAACTGATGTGCAAGAAGAGTTTCTGGGTGAAGAGTCTCTGGGTGAAAAGTGTAGGAGTGAAAAGTATGTGCAAGAAGAGTTTCTGGGTGAAGAGTCTCTGGGTGAAAAGTATATGGGTGAAAAGTATGTGCAAGAAGAGTTTCTGGGTGAAAAGTTTATGGGTGAAAAGTAT